GCTCACGCCCGTTGCTCATTACTTTGAGTCTGTTTTAACTTGTCTGCAAGTGAGTCATGTTGAAATGTGTTTTGCAACCCTTGCTCAGAAATTTTGTAGTGCAACCATTTGGGTTGATAAAACATGTTTGAACATTCCCATGTGCCTTTCCTCTGGTGACAGGATTGAATCATGCTGAGCATGAAAAATCATGTACTGATACCTGCATCTTAGAACATGTTCTACAAGAATGCATCGCTCTGAAACAGAGTCTGGTAGATTTATATATGACTTATTTCATTTCTTGGTGGAATTCCGTATTTGTCTGATGACCTCTTTTCTCGGTCATTCCACTGTGTTGAACATGTAGTGCTTCACACAAACAAGAGTTTGAAAAGAACTCTTCGGTTCTTCGTTCTGTCTTGCATCCTTGGCTGTACTAAAATGCCTGTGTAAGATCGCAGCTGCAACATAGAAACGCCATGTTGTGGTACTGTAGCCAAGGTTTTCTGTAAGACTCTTGCCCTTTTTCAGGCATTCAGTTTGACCTTATGAGCAAAAATGCACCAGTAAGGCCTGTCATGGGAGACACAGGGCAGACTCCCAGGTTAATGTATGATTGGCAAGAGTCTAAAGCAGAGCTCTCCAAACTTTTCATATTGGTGACACACGTTTTAGACACGCATAATTTCACAACACAGTAATGCAGTTTTACAGTGCTACCTCGGGTTACAGACGCTTCAGGTTACAGACTCCGCTAACCCAGAAATAGTACCTCGGGTTAAGAACTTTGCTTCAGGTTGAGAACAGAAATTGTGCGGTGGCGGCAGCGGGAGGCCCCATTAGCTAAAGTGGTACCTCAGGTTAAGAACAGACCTCCAGAACGAATTAAGTTCTTAACCCGAGGTACCACTGTACAAGCAAACCAGAGGTTAAACTCCTTTCCAGCCGTGGGAAGAACATGGGAAGCATTCACGTGACACACCTACACACTGCAGCCGACACACTTATGTGTCGCGACACACCGTTTGGAAAGCTCTGGCCTAAAGCAAGCTGGCTTACATGTAGGATTTCCAACACAGAGATGGGAATCCTTGTGAATGTCTCACCATATTTATAAAGGAATTCTGAAACAGCCTGCAAGTGAGGCAGAGAATAAAATCAGAAGCAGGAGAAGAAAACCCTGGAGAACTTGGAGGACAAGTTTTGGCAGATCCCTAGAGCTTATGCCAGCATCATTATGCTTTTCCTATGAAGTGCTGCCTCAGCAGAACAGCTCATTTCAACTCAGGGAGTGGGAAGTTGGTGTGGAAGTGAAGGGAAACACCTGGGAACTTCAGTCAGTATCCTGAGCTTGTGTTTCTTCCTCCCACCCCTCAGGTATTTCAGTGGGAGGTACCCACCCAGATGCAGGAGCCAAAGGGTTCTTGGCCCCTGGCTCTTCTTGAGGGCTTGATTTAACCCTTTTAAAAAGTCCCTTTGATTATGCCTTATCAGGCTTGTATTGCTGGATTCTGTAAAGAGCACTAGATATTGTCCAGAACAGCATTAGAGAGATCCTACTAATCAAGAATTACAGCTTTCAAAGCAGAGACGTTTTTTTCCTATCTACTTACTGATTTTTTCCCCCATATAGTAGGTGGTGCTACTTTTGAAGTTGTCAAATGTTTGAGGTTTTGGGGATACATGCAGTTTTATGTTCTGAATGATTTAAGGTTGCAGCAATTGTATTTCTGGTATAGAACTATACAAAGTTGGGAAATATCCTTTTGAGGCTCCCATGTGTTGTCTTTTCACACATCCATCAGTTTGCTGCAATGATTACTGCATATCTTCTCCATTCTATCTGTTCCATTTACTCCCAAATAGACAGTACATTAGGCAGCTTACCATTTTAAAAGCTTCTTTCATCGTTGTGATGAAAAGTGTGATCTAGAAAACCTGCAGGACTTACAAACTGCCCAACCATGTTGCCAGTGGCTAGAAACTGGGCCTAGTAAATCATTATACCTGGAAAACAAGGATATTATATTGCCCAACATCTATGAAATGGGTACTGGTTGCCATCTGGACAACTTAGAAGAAAGAAGTAGCGCTACAGACTAGGCAATGAATGAGCCCCTGGTGAAACTCGGCCCACATTTGCAACAGTACCTGCCAATGAGCATCAGTCAGAACACATAAGAAATAAGCAAATTCTACAGTAGGTCCCTTTGATTTTTGAAATAAAAGCAACTTTATTACTCTTGTACAAAATGTATTCAAGATACGAAAGTAAACAAAATGTTTACACAATGAGACAGTTCTTGATAAGAACGTCATTGGGAAGAACAAATCATTTTTCATTTTGAGTCAAAGCATTTTGTTGGTGAGGTAAAGAACATAAAAGATGATATACACCTATAGCCTGTAAAGTTATAAATACTTAATACAAATCTCTCAACTTTACATGGTAATCATACGTTATTTTACATTTTTATCTCTCCAGGCCAGCAATTTCTATAATTCTGTGGATTGCCTGGTACAGGGGTTCTCACCATTTCTGCTGTCAGGCAGCCTTTCCATATCAAGCAGACTGCCACAGAACCTTGATGCAGTTTAAAGAAGTGTTTGGCCACATTCTAGGGTACACGTGATTCATGTAGGATGCAAACAAGGTCCGTTATGCTCCATTTGAGCTGCACACTGCAATGGAAGATGGATAGTGGCTGACACCCTGACTTTTAGAGAGGCTTATCCACCATTATTGGTCCTCCAAGACTCTTTGATAAACAGATGCAGCTAGGAAAGGCACCGTATTTGCACACCGTAGTAACAAAGAAACATTACAAATAACATAGTTAAATTAATGCTTTGTTAAATTTAAACAGCTACTTGTCATCTTTGGGATTCTAATAGTTTGTACCCAAAAGCAGAGCAAGCAAATAGGGAGTAACTGGTTGAAGAGGCAGAGGAAATAACCCAGTGCAAAATGCTAAAAACAATTACCTATTACTATGTTGCATTACTTTACAGCACTTTGCCTCAGCGCTCAAAGGACTTTACACAGAGTGCGTCAGCATTAATATGGAGGGCACTATTAGCCCACCAGTTGTAATCTAGGGATCTGAGAGATATTGGCTTGCCTCAGGTCATCTAGTAAATTTACAGGTAAGTTAAGCTTTTAACTGGGCACATCTCACTTCCAACTGCTCAAAGCAATCCTAACCCCAGATCCACTGCCTTGAGGAAGTCAGGACATGTGTGTGCAGATAGATAATCTACACCCGACCCCTGCCCAACAGCACAAACCAGCAAGGGTTTGCTAGTGGCATATCATCCACTACTTCATTCCCCACTTAAGATTGCGCTCTTCATCAGAGAGAGATAGCTTAGTTGGTAGAGCATCAGACTCTTAACCTCAGAGTCATGGGCTTGAGCCCCACACTGGGCAAAAAGATTCCTGCATTTCAGGAAGTTGTACAAGATGACCATTGTGGTCCCTTCCAACACTATGATTCTAGGGTTCCTTTTATAAACATGAACTAAATTAAGGAAACAGAAAATATAGTGTATGATTTGGAGTTCATATTTTATTTCATGGCGTTTTGTATTTAGAAGAAAACCAACAGAAAAAGCAGCATTTTTCTTAGTTTATACTGTAATTGGCTTTTTGCAATTTATATTGTTTTTAAAAAGAAAATAGATTTGTAAGACTACCTTGGTTTCAATAAATACAGTCACTGACACAACTCAGGATTAGCGGGGGGTGGGTAGTGACAAATTAGGGACCCAAAGCTGGTCTCCATTTTAAAAACACAGAAAACTTCTCAAAGTAAAGTATTCTTCTGGAGACTTCAATCTTCTCCAATAACTTTGAACAGGTTCTTCTTAGATGTTTAAATGTTACACAAATGAGGGGAAAGAGCTGAATTGAAACCTTCTGTGATAGCTCATCAGTTAGTACTTTTATGCCATACTGTGTTTTCTTTTCAGCAAAAGCCCCTGCATCAGATTTATAGCTGTTGTGACTCAGTGCAACACCCATTAACATTGCAACATTACTTAGGCAGATTTAAACTGATGGGTAAGCTAGCCCGACATACAAAAACTCTTACTCAATAAGGCGTAGCTGCTACTTTTGCAAGCTTGCAATTTAGCAGAATTAGTTCAGAATACTATATACTTAATTTGCTCTTTGATTTTGCTTTATACATTGGTATATGAATTATTTGGAGTGTAAAATACAAACAGAGAAGCCTGTATTTTTGTTTTTACTTTTTCTCAAAGCTTAAAAGTAAACCACAAAACCCATGATTTCTCCATTTTCTTTTTATATTATTATTGCCAGAAAAAAATACCAAGAATGTAGTATTTGATACAGCCCATTCATTTATCTTCTTTCTGTTCCATCAGTTTTTACTACTTTTGCTTTGTCTTTTGTATGGGGGCTACAATCTACCTAAGGTTAATCAGTCATCCATGTCTGACCCACTGAAGCAAATGCAAGAAGGTAGTCATGTGTAAATTAAATCCCAATTATTTCAATGAGACTTCATCATGATTGTAACCTGGTTAAGGGCTCTGATGTTCAAAGTAGGGCCTGTTTTTTAATAACACACCCATGTAAGCCAGTGAGTGTAAAGTGTGAAGAAGTGACTTCAGAAGTCTGTGCATTAGAAACCCAACCCCTGAAAATACCCTGAACCTAAAAGCTATATTATTGGTAAATTAAGGCCTTGTAATGCTTTGCAACATTTTAAATATCTTCTCTGGATTCTGCAGATCTAGAGAAATATGTCTATAGCATAAAAGGCGAGAAGACTAATATGAGATGTACTAGGAAAAAAACCTATTTAAAATAGACTATATACCAATTTCACCAAAGTAACAGGATCTTCAGTGTTTAAGATCCTTAGTGAACCAGAAGAATCAAACTCGTTATTCTCTGCTCAATGGCACTGACATGAGCATAATAAAGCACAAAAGAAAAGCCTAAAATACCAAATTGATGAGAATAAAAACCTTTCATTTTAGGTCAATTAATTTCTAGCAAAGAAACAACATCTGCTTTATTAAAATCAGTTTTTTAAATGCATATCTTTAAATCCACTTGATTAAAGAGAAGACTATGATGTGTAACATCAAAACAGCAGCTACAGCACACCTCCTTCCCTTTATTTACAATTCAAAAATTTCCAATACATTTCTCTTGAATTCCCAAACAAACTATGTATACAGATGTATTAAAAATATCAGTCAACGTTTATTCCATCAGAACCGTATACAATAGGCACATTCATGCATGTTAAGTGCAAAGCACCAGTCACTACGTGATAACACAGAATCAGCACAGATCATACCTTTGTTGCTCCAAGTTCAGCTCCTCACTTTTCCTGAGATGGGAGGAGTCAACAATAAGTTGTGCCTGAATACTAGCAATTTTCTCCAGTTCCTATCGTAGTATTTTAACACTCAGCTGTATTAGAGTGGCAAATACAAGTATTATACTTTGAATTAATCTAAAGTCTTTTGGGTGGAAACTGTGGCCTTGGCAAATGTTTTCAATGTCACATTTTTATTTCTATACTTATTCCTCCTGTGGATTTGAACATACAAACTAATGCTGTCAGAATTGGTGAACACAAAAATTCAGTACAAAGAAAAATGTGTACATATATACATTAAAACATTTCACTCTCTTCCTTCTCTATTTACTAATTTAAGAGCTTTGGCCTAATTAAACTCATCTAGGCAGTCCATACAGTGTAGCCCTCTCAACACCAGTATCACTGCAGCTGGTGAGGGAGCTGTGCCAGGTGAGCTTTGCCAGTGCACCTGCACAGACTGACCTCACTACCACTGTGCTCCATTCATGTATGCTAAAGCCGTATTAGCGTTCGCAGGGCCAGCTCCCCTCTGCCATTACATATATGCTAATAATCAGTGCTATTTTTCTAGAAAAAAAGATGCCGGAACACACCAACAACACCTCCTCATTCTCATAGAATGGCAATGGCGCCCACCTGAGAGGTGGCAGAACTGAATTCCGGCGAGTTCAGGATGAAAAAAGCCCTGCTAATAATGAACACATTCTATGAGTATCAATCATTACATAATCAAAGCAACACTGTCCATACTCAAGGAGGAGGTGCTCATCAGGTTAGTGAATATGCTTAAAAAGAAAAATATAAAGGGAGAATCAAATTGGCCCAATGCATGCATGCTCAGTAGCCACAATAAGCTGTGTTTTGGGGGAACTGGGACTGTAGGGGGGTATGTATGGAGTATTCTAGAAAAGGTCATGGCTGGCTGCAAATTTTGTTACAGATCCCATTTTAAAAAATACTTAAAAACCCTGTTTTTCTTAAGAATGTAAGAAATGAATAACTATTTTAACATTCAGCAGTAGTATTTAGCGTTTATTTCTATAAAACTAAAGGAAAGATTCATATGAATCAAACCATGCTTGCTATAACCCAGACCCAAACAGCCAGAAATTTTTGAAGCTCAGTTCTTAAAATGATAAAGAATGCATTTTGCCTCCCTGTAACGGTAGATGCAGAGAACACTAGAAACTCTGTTGCTATTTTGAAAAGTTATGCGACTACAATATTGACTGTACATTTGGTTTAAAAAAATACTTTTTGGTGTAAATCTAAGGCAGTACACATGTAGGTAGGTCAAATAGCACAGAGTATCCAGAGGTTTAAGAGCAGAAAGTTTGATACTGACAAACCTAATGTCAGAATGTCTTCTGATTAACTACTCCCACGAGAAAAGTGGGGGGGGGAGAGACATAAAAATATTTTGTATTCAAGTTGTTATCCTGTGGAAAGGGCGATAATTCTCTGCATTGTTGTTGTCAGCACATTTATCTCTTTATACAGGTTTCTGCTAATGTCCTAAACTTTGGTTCCAGCTGATCTAAAAAGTCAAGCGCCTCTTCATCTTGCTGATCAGTGCAGCAGCCTACAGAGCCAGCCAGCGATCCTCTTCCTTCATAATTATATGAAAGGACATAGTCTTCGGAATGCTTATGCTCTTCATCTTGTCCACAGAGATATACCTTCTGCATAGGGGGAAAAACTGGGTGTTACTTGTTTTCTTAAACTAACCTGAACATGACATAAAAATGATTTCGTGGATTTACCTTTCAATGTTTAATTTTTAATCAGAGTGTGTCCTCTAATGGGTTCCTATATACAAAAAATGCACATGATTGGTCTATATCATTCATTCTATGACGAATTTAACAAAATCAGACCTACTGATCACATACGTAATAATCAAATGCAATGAACTTCCTTATCAGTTTTTAAAAAAACAATGTTCAGATAAATTGGGGGTGGGGACACCCTAGTTATATATTGCTTATTACAGGGCAGGCTCAGATTTAGGAGCCCAGTTCATAACATATACAGTTTCTTGGGCGACATTACAGCCATTACTATCAACCGTGGTCAATACTGGAGGAGTAATGAGAGATGAGGTCAAAGCAGGAGAGAATCACTACAGGAAAAACAAGTTAAAACAACACAGATATACGAAACAAATACCTGGTCAGGTTACCTTTTCTAAATCCAAACACTAAAACTAAAGGATTGCTTTTCACATTCCAAGCTGCAGGGCGATTTCAAAGTAAATCCTAAACATTTGCTCAGAAAATATCACCTATAGTTGCAGGCCATTAATATTATATCCAGCTAAGAAGATGTGAGCTCTGAATAAAAGTATGTTTAACAGTGCTTACCTCAGTTAGGCGAGGGTGTGTAAAATTTTGCCATTCTGAATAATTGTATCTATATGCATCCATCGCAGATTGTCCATATCCTCCTCTTTCTAATGTCTGGTGCCCCATTTTAACAGAGTCTAAGGTGTGGTGTCCTCCGCCCTTGACTGATTCCAGTGTCTGGTGTCCCTTGACCATCTCAAAGCTTTCCTGTCCTCCAGTTTTCACTCCAAGAGTTCCTTGATCACAAGTAACCATGTTTCCTGTTTTCACAGGAAGTATATTGGGGTCCTAAAAAGAAGAGAAAAAAAACAGCAAAAGAAATACATTAGGGTGCTTGGGAAGAAGGAATTGGACATTATGAGAAACCATGAGAACAAGGAATGCCATTTGGATTTCTGTATTCCCTGCTGGGTATTCAGTCTTTCCAGTAGGTATGCAATGGAAGCCAATCCAATTAACTACCCCTGATTTTGCTTAACATCAAGTAATAGCTCCTGTTTATCCTCCTCCACTTACATTTGTGACAGACATAGGCAACTTCTGTGGCCCTGGGATAAATGGAATTCAAAATACCCCAACTCTGAAGTCCTCCCTACACAGATGTTCAGGATTAGAGTAATTGTTGTCTGTTACCCACTGCAAAATATCATAACTATTTCCCCAGTGGAGGATGAACACTCAGAAAAGGAAATGACTCAATTAACCTTAGCCTAGAAAGTGCAGCTCAACCTGACCTGTTAAATTCTGGCTAAAATGGGTGTATGTGCATAAAGAAAACTTGAACTGTTCAGTGTCTCATTTTCTTTGCTTGAGCCATTAAAATACTTTTAACTGAAATAATAAGCAGCTTTCCTTAAAGCAAAGATGGTAGCTAATACTAAGTACACTTAATATTCTATACTTGTGTGCATGGTGTAACATTTAGCTAAGTTCAGTTCTCTCATCCAAGCTAGTTAAGAATAAAGTGTCAAATGCTTATTACCATCCACTATAAGAATAAGAATCCACTATATACTGTGGTGTATATATGAACTTAAACTCTGATTTAAAAATTAACACAGTAATCAGCAATACATTACCCCTATTTTTTATTCTTGAGATTAATTGGCTGAGATACCATGGGATTTATATTAGTTCCAGCATTCAAACTACAACTAATATTTTTCCCCAGCACCTTATATATAGTCTCTTCTTTTGTCCCATTCTCCTTCTTTATCTCCCTTAAAAGCCAAACTAATAGCTTTTGAAAAGCATGTATATTGGCGGCATTTAATTTCAAACGTGAGGCAGTCCTGGTGCAGTGCTGCTTTCCCAATACAGATTGGGAACCCAATGCCAAAAACTGTCTTCCCCATTACTATTTGTTCCCTAGGATTGTGACATCATCTTTAGGGGTAAATAGCAGCCAGGAGGCTGATAGAATACCAGTGCAAGGCCAGTTTTTGTTTTTTAAAAAAAGTTGTTTAATGCAACATATATTTTGTTATGTCTTGTCATTCCACATAATTAGAATGCCTTCACTCTCAGATCTGTTCCCATCTAGCCCTCTCTGCTTCAGCATTTAAATATTAAAATCTTTTCACTTTCTCAAATCAAGTTCCCTCCCCCTCCTTCCACTTGCTCTGAAGCCGTGTGTGTGTGTGTGTGTGTGTGTGTGTGTGGCACCTATTGCCCAAGAAATAATGAGCAGATAAAACAACTTACCATTACTTCTTCACCAGGTGCTTCAGTGTTTGAAATGATCAAGTTCTGATTAGCTAAATCATCACACACATGCTTACTGCTACTCACAGGCGCAGCACCACAACAGCCGCAAAGTGTTATCAGGATTACTGGAAAAGCGGATGGGGAGAGGAAAAAGAATCAGATACAATAAGGCATCAGGGCATCTACATATTATTATTAGCCTTCTCTCTAGTTAAAATCAAGGCACAGTACTGTACATATCGGAAGCAAAAGCCAAGAGTACAGTGGTGCCCCGCAAGACGAATGCCTCGCAAGACGAAAAACTCGCTAGACAAAAGGGTTTTCCGTTTTTTGAGTCATTCCGCAAGACGAATTTCCCTATGCGCTTGCTTTGCAAGACGAAACGTCTTGCGAGTTCTTGCGAGTTTGTTTCCTTTTTCTTAAAGCCGCTAAGCCGCTAATAGCCATGCTTTGCAAGACGAAAAAACCACAAGACGAAGAGACTCGCGGAACGGATTAATTTCGTCTTGCGAGGCACCACTGTAGTCACATAATCCACTGGATGTCTAAAAATCATTTAAATGCACACTTTTATCCAGTGGAAACCATATGAGCTCTTCTCCAATATGTTCACTAGCTGGAAGGCAAAGGGGCCCCAGCCCCCTGCTCCACCTTCCCAAATGTCTATTGCTTGAATTCTAGATTTAAATAATGACTCCATACACTCAGTCCTGGCAACTGACTTGGAGGGGATAGTGAGGCACATAGCATTTACTTGTATAGGTGCATCCCTATCCAGCTAGGGATACACCTATAGAAACCTACTTCAATATGCAGAGATATGCTAGCTGTATTGGGGTGCCTATGCATTTAAGGAAAGGAACATTTTTAAAAATTATTAGTTCTTTTATTGCCTATAGTATCATTTCAATGCAGTATTTAATGGACAATTGTTTACATAAATGAATTAAATAAGCCATCTTCACAGCTTTGCAAACTTCAGGTGTTCAAAGCAGTCTTAACAATCTTATAACATAGCCCTTCAACTTGACATTCATGGCAAATGCTACATTTATATATAACATACTTACATAATAGCAACAAGGATCCCCCAATCATTGCAAGGATGGCCCAAAGACCAAGAGTCACATTAGGAGTCTGACGTGCAACCGGCGGCCCCACCCGTGGCCAGTAACGGCAATCACTAGGGGTGGTGCAATCACACATAATTACACGAACTTCAGTAATTCCACCTTTGCCTGCACGATCAGTTACCATCACAGGGATCTCGTAAGCGCCAAATGGCAAATTCTCTGCTGGTACCAGGTATGCAGAGTTCTCTGCCAAAAAAGAAACAAAAACACAACACAGTGACGAGCATTCTTTCAAAATCATTAATTACTGCAGATGCAAGAAATTTAGGAATGCAGCACACACCATCATGCTGTGTCAATTTCCACTGTGGGATCATGCGGTCAGGAAGAGTAAAACTGAAAGGGGCTCCATGTTCAGGTAAATCAGCATCCACAGCAGTAAGGCAAACTGGTTGTCTGTCTCTGCAAATTATGTACTCTTTCTTGGGAATCACTGGGAAATTGTCATTCTCATCTAATAGATTAACCACTATTACTCCAGTGCCTGTTTTACCACCTAGGAAATAACAAAGAATGAGTTATAGCCTTACAATTTAATGCTGTTTCCATGATTTAACATATCTTTATAAGTTACACTTCTGAAATTATGAATTTTACTATTTCCAACAGCAGTTCACAACAAATACTTGCAAGGAAACTCACCCAAAAAATGGAATCTGAAATGGGCTCAATAAGATAGCCTGTGCCCAAGATGGATCCCACCCCTACATACTCAATGTTAATCACAAGGCATTTCCAGGCTGATGTTCCATTTTTCGAGTAGCATTCATTAGGAAAGGCAATGCTTTTTTTCTGGGGGTACGCTGGGGTATGCATACCCCTAAACATTTTGTGAATCTAAGTTTGGCCTCATTGAGGGGCAGTATTTCAATATGAGTAGGAAAATATGAGTACCCCTAAACAATTTTTAGGGGGGGAAGCACTGAGGAAAGGCATTGCTTTTTAAATAACAGAAGAGTGAACTGGGTCCTTCCTTTCTTTGACACAGAGGCCTGGGAAAGTTGTGTGCACCCCTAAGAGCAAGGCATGTGTCCACATCATGTAAATGGACTGAAAGCAAATCCAGAGGCTTGGGATATTCACAAAAGACTTTGAGCACCCATGTCTGCCCCTCTGGAAACAAAATAATTAATTCCTGAATGGCAATATTTTCTTGTAAAGTATGGCAGTTATATTTTTATACTGATTTATGGGGGGAACAGTGCTGGCTGAATCTTCCCTTGCTTTGTAAGCCTCTATGTGGATTTCATTTTAATGTGTTTCATAGTTTGTTGATGTTGTGTAATATTCTGTCTGGCCTTATGATATACATAACCCATGTACAAATTTGTTTTAAAAAGTCAATTTAATTAATGTATATATAAACATTAAAAAACTATTAAGAAACCTGGTTAAGAAAATATCATGACTAGCTTCAAACATAGTTAACACTGGTCCCAATGTTAAGCTTAACCACGGTTAATGCTGGAAGGGGGGAAATCCACAATCAGCAAAGAAAGGCCAAGGAATGAATGCATGGGTCTGTAGGTTAATCCCAATATCTTAATTGTGGTTAAGCATTCAGAGGCACGGCATGAGTACTGGCTCTAATTGTTCATTATTTAACTTAGTTCGAAAAGGGTTTGATAGTATAGACAAAAGTATTATAAAGTGATCATACTGAGCAATGGTACACCCAATAAAAAAAATAAAACAAAACAAATAAGCCCCACCCCTGGCAAAAGAAAAACAAGACCCAAAATGATGAGCCCTGGGAATAGCAGTGTGATTTCCCTCTCTCTCACTGGAGTCAAGGAACGGTTGAGAAAGAATAACTGGAAGAAAAAGCTTCCCCCACATATACACACTTCCCGCCCCAGCTGAAGCTAGCAAACACAGCTTTGGATGTGGTATTTGCTCTGCCACATACGTATTCAGTAGTTTTGTAGGCTACTTAACTGAACTTTGTAATATATTTATAGTATGTAATACTCACTCCTGTCCGTTGCAGAGACTGTTACGTTACACTGGTAGAGCTGCATTTGTGGTTGCTCCCTGTCTAGGAGTCTAGTGGTTCTGATCTGACCTGCGTTGTCAATGGTGATCCAGTTACAGGGATCATTTATTATTCTATAACTGTTAGGAACAAATACAGCTGTTAGAAACAAACACCAAAATATATGCTTCATTATATCTTAATGGTTTTTATGCCTGGTGCAGTTAAATAAGCTGGTACAAATCTCCGTGTTGTACCATCACACAGCAATGGATTCTCAAGTAGCCTCATACTAGGTAGTAGTCTTTAGTATATACATAAGACATTTCTATAGTTCAGAGCATTTCCCTGCTGTGCTGATGTCCAAGAAATTTAGAGTATACTTAGCTCTTCCAACCTGATCTGCTCCCCACTGGCATTTCTGGCTATACTCCACGAGGATGGCAGTACCATCAGGCCAGCATAAAACTCACAGAATGAACCCAATACCTACATGTACTCCTATGTAACAGAACAAGGTTTGCTTGTGTAATGTGCAGATAGCCCCCAGTGTAGTGGTGCAACAACAGAGGTACAACAATGTTTATCCATCACCAGTAACAGCTGGCAGACTGGGATAGAGCAGCACTGCTTGCCTGGCTCCCCAACATGGAGGTCATTGCTTTTAACAAAGAGGGGAGGGTGAGGTAGGAGGGAAGTTTGAGCAGTGCATGTACAGTGGCAGAGCCAAGCCAATGCTGCTGCCATTGAGCTTACACCCACTGACCTCATTCCCACATCACCCCTCTCCCCTGGTTATAAGCGGCAAACTCTCCCTTGGAAAGCAATGCACTGCCTGCTCCCATCCTGCTCTGCCAGCTGCTACACCTGTGAATCAGACGGTTGTATTAACACTAGCAGTATAACATGAATTAGGCAACAAAATACTATACATTATGCCTTCAGAGTTTCCAGTTTCTGGGTCCCTTGCTGTGTACTGGCCAACCATCGTTTCAGCAGGCAAACACTCCTTGATGTTCAAAAAAAATACACAAGGATCAAATACAGGGCCTTCGTCCATATCCCGCACTTTGACAACAACAACGCAAGTACTTGTAGAAACTGCTCTTGAATTTGGTGGGAGGAAATAAGGTGCTTCATTATTTACAACAATTTCCAACTTTCTCTCCTTGTTTCTTTCGTAGTCTAGCCCCTGGAAAATAAATAAATGTGTGTGTCAATGGCAAGATTTTTCTAATATTCACAGCAAAAACAGACAATTATGGAGGGATGATTCCCTATTCAGAAGCAGGTTGTGGATGGAATGTCTCTGCCTCCCAGATAGTTTTGTCAATGAAGTAAGGGTTTTTATTGGCTCTTTGTCTGCTGGACCAGAAGCCCACTTCTGGCCCTGAACCTTTTCACTTGCCTTAAAACAAGCATAAGGGACCCACAGCCTGAAGGCCAAATTAGGTCCATGAAGCCATTTCCCCACAGATGACATCATGGACTCAGCTATACAGCTGCAAATAAAACAATTTAAGTGTGTTTTAATTGCAATATACAATGTGACCCTCGGTGGCGATGGTGAGCCTTATGGAAAATTCAATGTATTTTTGTGGTCCACTCCCTTAGCATTTTATGTAAAGATTTTGTGCTTATGAAAAGCCTGTTAATACCTCCCTCTTGTACAGAGGTGGTGGTATTTTGACAACATAAGCAACGGCACTCAAAACCTGAACACTGGGAATGATGGTACAGTTTTACGTAACGCAAATGCATTGTGAGTTTCTTGCTTTCCCACACATCTACTTTAAAATGAAAAGAATAAAACATCTACAATGGCTTGGTTCACATAACATGCTAAAGCAAATAAATAATAATAATAATAATAATTTTATTTTTTAATATGCCACCTATGTGACTAGGTTGCCCCAGCCACTCTGGGCGGCTCCCAACAAAATATTAAAAAGCTCAAAAATAAAAAGACTTCCCTGTACAGAGCTGCCTTCAGATGTCTTCTAAAAGTCATATAATTGGTTATCTGTTTGACATCTGATAGGAGGGTGTTCCACAGGGTGGGCGCCACTTCCAAGAAGACCCTCTGCTTATTTCCCTGTAACTTCACTTCTTGCAGTGAAGGAAATGCCAGAAGGCCCTTCGAGCTGGACCACAATGTCTGAGCTGCACAATGGGGGTGGAGACGCTCCACTCTGGCTTACCACAAACAAGTAAGCATCAAGGCTCTCAGAGAGCAGCTCACAGCTGCTTTGTTTCTACCCAGCACTTCTTGCTGCTGTGCGACATTAAGCTAAGTCAAGGTTTAACATAGTGTGTCTTCTGAACCGTGGCTTGTGATTATGCTCTTAACTGTAACCAAGATTTGGCTTAGCGTGTCATGCAACCACAGCCACTATGTGATCAATATACAGATTGGAAAATCATTGCTGAGAAATAATTATAAATTTAAATTCAGGGACCTCGGTGCTGCCACAGAAGGTCAGAGGTGTTAAACTCTGCTGAAAATTATTACCCACTTCTGTATTGCTCAGTATGATGGAATTATCATAATACTTATTAAACTATATTCAATTGGATATAGAAAAGCCGTGAAATGTAATTACCTTTTCAACACATAGTGTACCAATATTTGAATCAGGATTTTTTACAATTTTGAAAGCACCATCTTCATTTCCCTTTATAATGTTGAAGGTAGCATGCCAGGCAGGTGTTCCAGGTGAATCTTTGTCTACGACACCGATGTCCATTACTTTTTCGCCAACTGTGTTTTCACTAACATATGCTTCATACTGAAATGAACAAGATTTTCAGAAATTTGTTTCAAAACCATATGGTCACCACAACATAGTTTTCTATGCACATGCTGTCATATATGTTTTTGCAAATTGCTATGGGTTGACAAATTATAGCCTTAAAATATTAATGCTTAAGATATAATGCAATGATGAGATTAAACCTCTGTCAGCAACTGAAACAAAGTGTGTGTCTTTATCCTTCTTATTGATAAGGAAACAGAGTCCAGCTTCTTAACCAGGGCTGATGCAATCAGAATAGAGTTAAAAGCTGCAGGCTTGGACACATAATTATGAAACTCATGCAAATGACAAAAAGAAAATAAAAGAGAGAATGCAGAAGATCTTAAAATGAAGAATAATGTTCTAAGAAGTGTGAAGGCAGAAAACATACCATGCTGTGCTCACACATGGGTGCATGATCATTTGCATCATCAACTTCAATTACAACTGTTGCAGTATTGCACAAACCAAAGGGCTGACCTCCCATATCTCTTGCTTCTACCAGTATTGTGTATGTCGTTATTTTCTGAAAAAGAACACAGCAAACAGTATATGAATATAGTACAATATAAACACAGTAATGGGAGGGGAAGGCCAATGGAACACAATATCCTCTTAATACTGACTTTCTTTAGTCATATTGTAATAATAATAATAATAATAATAATAATAATAATAATAATCTTTATACCCTGTCCATCTAACTGGGTTTCCCCAGCCACTCTGGGCAGCTTACAGCACATATAAAAACATAGTAAAACGCCAAACATTAAAAACTTCCTGATACATGGCTGCCTTCAAATGTCTTCCAAAAGTTGTGTAGTACTTTAGCTCCTTGACATCTGATGGGAGGGTGTTCCACAGGGTGGGCACCACTGCCAAGAAGGCCCTGCATGGTTCCCTGTAACTTCACTTCTCACAGTGAGGAAACCACCAGAACTTCACCAGAGGGAACCACCAGAGTTCCTAGCTAAACAAATGCTTTTAAGGCTTCTTATGCAGAAGTCTATCAAGTACCCTTTCTCTCATTCTCACTGCTGCTTCCTGCAAAAATGGATGGAAAGAGAGAGAACCTCTCCCTTTTTCCCCGTTGATGAAAGACAAGATAGGTCACCTCCCTTTCTGTTGTATTTTTGCAGGACTAAGCAGCAGCTTGTATCTCCTGCAACAACCTGCCACTAACACAAACTCTCTTTTCTGCATAGGATTTAGAGAAGGGAGGTGTCAACGACAACAACAAAATAATGAGTTTGTCAAGCAAGCAAACTATAAATTTCCCAGAGATTCATGCGTCCTCTCCCCGCCTCCCCGTCAAATTATGCCTTACTCATAGGCATAATGCTAAATGACAACATTAGACGTTCAATAAAATTACCTCTCTGTCCAGAACTGGATATGCCACAGTAATAGAACCTGTATCTGGATGTATAGAGAACGTATTGGAACCTTGAAGCGGTATAGGATTCTGGCCCACAATTCTGTATTTCAGTTTAGTGTGCAGTGTACCAGGTTCATCTCTGTCTGTTGCGGTTATTTGTCCAACCACGGTACCTGCATACACAGATTATCATTGTAACCTTTTTAAGATTATACTATAAAATACTGATCAAATTATCGTTGGAGATCTAGCCTAATAATACGGCACACACGCAACCCCCGCCTAAAGCACTCGAAAAGAAAATGCAATACATGGTTGTTAACTTCACCCTTAATAAAGCTCATGGACTGCTGCTTTGCTTTGAAACCTCTCCTTACTTCATTTGGGTTAGTGCAGGCCTAGGCAAACTCAGCCCTCCAGATGTTTTGGGACTACAACTCCCATCCTCCCTGTTAGCTAGGGGTGATGGGAGTTGTAGTCCCAAAACATCTGGAGGGCCGAATTTGCCTATGCCTGGGTTAGTGCAAGGGATTCCAGCCCAAGCCCTGGTGAAATGAACAGAAGATATGCAGCAGTAGATGAAGAAGCCCTGCACTGTTTATGTGATTTTTAAAAAGAAGTAATTCTGAGCTTTCAGTTAATTACATATATTTGTAATGATCTACAGATTTTGAATCACAGAGATTCCTAATAGAGGACATTGCCTAAGAAAATAATCTAGGTTTCATATTATCATACAGTGGTACCCCGCAAGACGAACGCCTCGCAAGACGAAAAACTCGCAAAACGAAAGGTTTTTTCGTTTTCGAGTTGCCTCGCAAGACGAATTTCCCTATGGGCTTGCTTCGCAAAACGAAGCTTGCCCCGGGGACAGCGGGTCTTCTCTTTTGAAGCAAGGGGCGGCGGGGAGATCGCTTCTCCCCACCGCCCCTTGCTTCAAAAGAGGTCTGCCCCCGGACCTCTTTTGAAGCAAGGGGCTGCGGGGAAATCGCTTCTCCCGGTGCTCCGAAGCGGGGTGGGGGGGGCGGGAACACCTGCCCCAGCCGCCGGGCTTCGTAGCGCTGCTGCGAAGCCGGGCGGGGGGCGGGAACACCTGCCCCAGCCACCCCGCTTCGGAACGCTGCTCCGAAGCGGGGGGGGCGGGAACACTTGCCCCAGCCACCGGGCTTCGTAGCGCTGCTGCGAAGCCGGGCGGGGGGCGGGAACACCTGCCCCAGCCACCCCGCTTCGGAACGCTGCTCCGAAGCGGGGGGGGCGGGAACACTTGCCCCAGCCACCGGGCTTCGTAGCGCTGCTGCGAAGCCGGGCGGGGGGCGGGAACACCTGCCCCAGCCACCCCGCTTCGGAACGCTGCTCCGAAGCGGGGTGGGGGGGCGGGAACACCTGCCCCAGCCGCCGGGCTTCGTAGCACTGCTCCGAAGCGGGGGGGGGCAGGAACACTTGCCCCAGCCACCGGGCTTCGTAGCGCTGCTGCGAAGCCGGGCGGGGGGCGGGAACACCTGCCCCAGCCGCCGGGCTTCGTAGCGCTGCTGCGAAGCCGGGCGGGGGGCGGGAACACCTGCCCCAGCCACCCCGCTTCGGAACGCTGCTCCGAAGCGGGGGGGGCGGGAACACTTGCCCCAGCCACCGGGCTTCGTAGCGCTGCTGCGAAGCCGGGCGGGGGGCGGGAACACCTGCCCCAGCCACCCCGCTTCGGAACGCTGCTCCGAAGCGGGGGGGGGCGGGAACACTTGCCCCAGCCACCGGGCTTCGTAGCGCTGCTGCGAAGCCGGGCGGGGGGCGGGAACACCTGCCCCAGCCACCCCGCTTCGGAACGCTGCTCCGAAGCGGGGTGGGGGGGCGGGAACACCTGCCCCAGCCGCCGGGCTTCGTAGCACTGCTCCGAAGCGGGGGGGGCAGGAACACTTGCCCCAGCCACCGGGCTTCGTAGCGCTGCTGCGAAGCCGGGCGGGGGGCGGGAACACCTGCCCCAGCCGCCGGGCTTCGTAGCACTGCTCCGAAGCGGGGGGGGCAGGAACACTTGCCCCAGCCACCGGGCTTCGTAGCGCTGCTGCGAAGCCGGGCGGGGGGCGGGAACACCTGCCCCAGCCACCCCGCTTCGGAACACTGCTCCGAAGCGGGGTGGGGGGGCGGGTACACTTGCCCCAGCCACCGGGCTTCGTAGCGCTGCTGCGAAGCCGGGCGGGGGGCGGGAACACCTGCCCCAGCCACCCCGCTTCGGAACGCTGCTCCGAAGCGGGGTGGGGGGGCGGGAACACCAGCCCCAGCCGCCGGGCTTCGTAGCGCTGCTGCGAAGCCGGGCGGGGGGGGGGCGGGAACACCTTCTGAAGGCGGGCGGGGGGCGAAAGTCTTTGTCCCCCCTGCCTGCCTTCCCAGGGGCTTTTAAATCGCCCCGGACAGCGGAGAAGTCCTCCGCTGTCCCGGGGCGATTTTAAAATGCTGCCCGCCAGCATTTTAAGATCGCCCGGACAGCGGAGAAGTCCTCCGCTGTCCCAGGGTTTTTTAAAATGCTGGGGGTGGGAAGAAAAGCCCTTGTCCCCCCCCCCCAGCCTTCAGAAGAGGTCCGGGGACAGTCTGTCCCCGGACCTGGTCTGAAGGCGGTTTCCCTAGGAACGCATTAATTGATTTTCAATGCATTCCTATGGGAAACCGTGCATCGCAAGACGAAAAAACCGCAAGACGAAGAGACTTGCGGAACGAATTAATTTCGTCTTGCGAGGCACCACTATATTCTGATAAATCTATGCAGGCCGATGTCTAAAAAGTGGTCTTACAATCACTTGCTCCCCATGTATACCTATGCAAATTTGTTAAGTTAGCAATTACATGAAATTGCACCGAATAAGCATGTGCGCAATTGCTGCTGTCAAACGATATTCTCGGCGTACAGTAGGCGCAGATCTTCTCACTGATGCTGTTCGCGTTACATTCATTTTGTTAATGACCGTCTAACATTTATCCCTGTCTTCATAAGCAGCAGTTAAATGCTGAATGATGAAAACATGTTTTGATGAGATACAACTTTTATTCTACATAGAAAATAATATCTTCACTATTTTGGAGCAAAGGTTTACCCAGTTACAAACATACACAGATAAATGAAAACACTCTTCAAACTGGACAGACCAGTTATAAATCTGACTAGCATTTATATCAAGAGTCATTGAAATGAACATGGGTGCAAATACATGGTCTAATCTGAAAGCTTTTGGAAAATGTGATGGGAAGGGTTATAGCTCAGTGGTAGTGCATATTTTGAAAGCAGAAGGTTCTGACTCCCAGGTTCAATCACAGGCACCGCCAGTTAAATGATCAGGGAGCAGGTGATGGGAAAGATTTCTGCTTCAGTCCCTAAAATGCTGGTGCTAATAAGAGTAGACAATTCTGAACTAGATGGACTAGTCATTTGACTTGGTGTATGTTCATATATATCAATGCTCAATATAATAATAATAATATGGCACATTCATGCATAGTTAGTGAAATTGTATGTATTTGTGTGTTTGCCCATGCATTTATTTATTAGATTACTAACCTGCCCCATTCCAAGGGGATGGTGCAGTCAATACTTTAAAAATCCGACACAGTATAGTAAAACAAATTAATATTAACCTACACTGGCTTAACATCTGCCATTATATAACATCCAAGTAAGGAGATTAAAGATCTTAACACTGGGCCACATTCAATGACAGGCAAATAGATGTCTGATTATGTCTGATTATACATCCAGGTTTTCCTCTCCCCCCCCCCTTCCTCTTTACTGCTCCCCCATCTGCTTCAGATGGTTCGCCAATCCTTCAGCAAAGATTTTGGGAGTACACAGAGGTCTTCAGGGAGGAGGGGAAAGAGAGCAAGTCATGTTGCACATGTGAAGGTTCATTCCACTGGTGGAAGGGCACCATTAGATTTCACTCATTGGATAAAAGTAATTGAAATGATATTATAAAATTTCTAGCTGCTTACCAGCTCTGCAGTTTTCTACAACATTAAAAGCCCAAGTAACTGGGTCAAACATTGGTGGGTTGTCATTATCATCCTCAATTCGGATTACATGTCTAAGTGGTACCTCTGGAGTATAGCCATCTAATGTCCTTGCATTGCAAATTATCTGTAAAAAAAAAGAGGGAACACTTTTAGTAGCTACCTATGTAAGGATAATTGGTTTTATTGTAATGCATTGCTATTTGCTTCTGAACAAACACAAGAACTTCCCATGTTTTATGTTTCTTATACTTTAACAGTGAAAGACTGACAGGTTTACAGTTTCCATTTTACCAAGAGCCATATTTCTGTAGAATTCTTAAACTCAAGTACATTTCTGTGTTTCATCAGAAAGACATCCAGACTTTTTACTTTATACATTCTTTTCCCCTGTCAAACTTCTCCATCATTAACATCTATCAGATAAAGTTCTATTCAGTATCTCAGAAAAAACTTTGCTTAGTAAAAGCAGAACAAGGTTGCAGATCCTACCATTCCAATTCAAATACTCAAAATGAACAAAGTGTCAATGAACACTACTGATCCATTGTTTAAAACACATCATTTTATACTTACAACACATTTGGCTTCATATTATAATTGTTACAACTGACAAAGTTTGCATTCTTACCTCAAATTCTGAATACTCTTCCCGATCTATTGGGACAGTAACAAAGAGATTTCCTGTTTCCCTCTCAATATAAAAATAATTTAGTGGTGGTTGGTCGACTCCACGACCACTTATAGAATATGTGATGTTGTATTTTTGGGCTGTATCAGAAGACAGCTGTATAAAGAGAATGATGTATGAAACAGAAAAACGTAAGTCATCATACTATAGCTAGTATCTCAGAATTAAAGTATCAATTAATCTCTTAATTTTCTGGTACCAAAGTTAGTTCAGACTCCTGAAGAACATGACAAATATTTGTTCATTTAAAATCCTTCACCATTTATACAGGAGTGTAATTTAGTACACACTGTTTAGGCTGTGAGATCATAATCACACTGAGGCAGTAAGTCCTGTTTTAATAGAACTGATTTTCAAGTGTGCTTAGGATCACTCTATCTGGTACAAATTACTCTCCAGCAACTACTTAGTCATTAACAGTATTGATATCATTGATGCTTCCTTTTTCATGTTCAAGGCTTCTCAAAAAGTCATTAGAATTATCCTAAGATCATAACTTACATAGGTTTCTTCTACTCATCTTATTCATAAAACACATTTGCTAGAGCGTAGAGTGTAATCAGACTGGTTTATTAAACGTTACCTGCTGAATTTGCATTGGGAAAGGTCCTAGTGAGTTTTCCATTATTAGGGTTGGAAGAGGACTCCATCTTCGTTTAGTTCGTCTAAGAACAGTCTCTCCTGTTTTATGAGCCTGTGTTCAGGAAATAGAAACGAACATTAGTAATATATTCTAGTAATTCCTTACTTTTTCCATTCTCCTATACTGTGTTGTTCCTATTAACGTTCTCCAGCATTTCACCATGGTATCCATCTTTTTCTCCATGAATTGCTATAACATTCTGGTATGGTGATTTTTGAGTACTTCAACCCTGCATAACTGTTTTCAGTTTTTCATGCCTCTCTTTTCATTATGTTTGTGTGTGTTTTTGGAATTCTAATGTCCTTGATGAAGATAATTCCTTTTTTGCTACATCAGTTTTAACTGGGCAATAAAGAGACAGATTCAGCCCTCCTCTTCACCTGAAGTGAGAGCTTAAGTTATATGCTAAATCAAAAGTTCTGTTGACACTACAGTCAATTAAGGCCAAAAATAGACATTACAGGAACTGCACAGCTGCTGTCAAAAGAAGCAGAATTATCCTCCTTCTCTCTCATCCATACTGGAATGTATATATGACATAATCATAATGTTCTCACTCCTTTTCAATGGCTGAAGTTTGCTTGCAGGGGCAAGGAAACTTTCAGTGCAGTTCTGTCATGTCAAGCCTTACTTCTCCCCGCCCTAAAACCCCACCTCTTTTTCAGTACCTATAACATCTATATTTGCCTAACGAGGAAGATAACTGAAATGTACTTTGATCTAAAAAAAATATTGCATGCCACTTACCTTTTTTGGATGTGATAGCAAATTGACATGTATTTTCTTTTGCAGATGACCTTGTAAGTCATTAAGCGATATGGTAAAAGCTTTCTTCTCAGAAGACAAAGAAACAGCATTTGTTGTATATACAGAACCATCTTCTAGTACTATGAAATCAGGATCACTTGAACTGATCAGGTCAGATGTCCTAAGATACTGTCTCAGATTTACTGTAAAACAAAACAAAAACAGTAAAAACTGTAAACCAAGAAACAAAGCAGCAAAGAACAACTCCCAATTTCATGTCCTAAATTTATATTTGCATGCTTACAATTTTAAAATTTGTACATAGTTGCAGTGTCAGGGTAAAGTTTCTAGAGCATGATCATGACACTCTAGTATGAATGTAATAAGTCGATCTTATCCACCCAGAGCCTTCACAACTGGGGAAAAAGGCTATGACTCAAACTAAGAACAATTAAATGAACAAATAGCGAATAAGCTTATAAATAAACTGGTTACAGATGAGAATGAGATGCAAAATCCAAAAACTTATTTAGTAGTTTTGTTGGTTTAGGATTCAAAAGCAAGCTTTATTTACAATCAATAATGGAATACATATCCCATGCTGCCTAAGGCGTGGCAGAGTGCAGCACAACTAGAGGCAGTTCATCTGCTTCAACTGTAAGGGCAGAGGAGCCCTCTTGCACTCCTCTGTCATTTTCTGGGGTTGGGTTTAGGGCAGGGGGTGTTTAGTATGCTTAGGGGGCATGTTAGGAGAGCAGAAATGCATGTGATCCTTCAGGTTCAATACTTCTACTTGTCTACCCCTTACACCACCACTGATGTCTGAGCCCTGAGACTGAGTCAATGAAGTTTTCACAGTGGTGTGGGTGGGGGAATCTAGCATCTGATCTCCTTCTCCAAGGTCAGAGCGCTCTCTCTGCCTTCAGAAAGTGAGATCCAATGCTTCCTATGACCCCATGGGCACCCTCCTAAGGACCATAAGATTTCAGCATAGCAGCACAATCCAATGCATATTTATTTGAAAGGAACCCCATTCAGTTGGGGTTTGCTGCCCATTAAGTGTGTCCAGGATTGAAGTTGTAAGCTTATGCTATACTGTAACTAAGCATTGGACACGGGTGGCGCTGTGGGTAAAAGCCTCAGCGCCTAGGGCTTGCCGATTGAAAGGTCGGCGGTTCGAATCCCCGCGGCGGGGTGTGCTCCCGTTGCTCGGTCCCAGCGCCTGCCAACCTAGCAGTTCGAAAGCACCCCCGGGTGCAAGTAGATAAATAGGGACCGCTTACTGGCGGGAAGGTAAACGGCGTTTCCGTGTGCTGCGCTGGCTCGCCAGATGCAGCTTGTCATGCTGGCCACGTGACCCGGAAGTGTCTCCGGACAGCGCTGGCCCCCGGCCTCTTGAGTGAGATGGGCGCACAACCCCAGAGTCTGTCAAGACTGGTCCGTACGGGCAGGGGTACCTTTACCTTTAACTAAGCATAAGCCCCACTGAACACAGATAGGCTTCCAAAATAATGTGCATTGGAGTGCGCTATAAATATGAGATGGGTTGCAGGGAGAAGAAAACAGAACATCATTGTGAAAGCAACAGAAAGAGGCTCTAGTAATTGTTACTCACATCTGCCAATTAATGTTCCTGCTTCTAGTTTGGAAGGCACGTTAAAAGTCACTTTCTTGCTAGCTTCACAAAATAAACTTAGTACCTGAGGAGTAAAAGAATCGCATTATTATTTTTTGTTATTTTTGTATATACAGAACTATAAACAATAGGCCGAAATATAGCATAGTGATCTAACCTTATCCATGAATTAGATTGTAATATTCCTTAATATGCCTGAAATTTGCACGTATACATTTCCAGGTTCCCCCATTAAGAATGGTTGACAAGCCTTCATACTATTTGATGTCAATATGAGGAAGGATTTGAGATTATTTTGATGCAACAACATCTAGGCCATATTGCACTGTTATGTGCACAAGATGCATTTCAGTAAGCCATCTATAAGGTTATGTTCTGTTGATAAAGCATCTTCTGGTCAGCAAACCAGAGGAAATTGGCAGCAAATCAGAAAATTGACACGTTAATTAATGTATTCACCCAGAAAATGAAGTTAGGCTCATGTGGTGCCAATCAGATGGCTGGATTTAGAGACAGTTTTGACAAGCAAATAAAAAGATATTTGACAGAGGGAAGTGCTGCAAAGCACCAACACTATTAGGCCCTCTCTCTTCAGAAGGAACTGCTGGAATGTTAATGACATGCAATTCTTGAGAAGTGCTCTTTTAGGGAAGTATTTATGATGGGAATACTGATTTTGAATTCAAAGTCTGTTGTTCCAACTGTCTCACAGCTCTTGGCACTGTACCATTGATTTAGCTTGGGGGAGGGAGAATCACTAAATGGGAATCTTAGTTGCAAGGTGAGTTGCCATCTTGGCAGCTTGGGCAACCAGCATGCCCAGGAACCCAGCAAAAACAACATGACATTTCTCTAGGCAGTCTTCAAATGGGGGAAAAGACAAAAAAATAACAGATGTAAGCTATAGCTGAATGAGCCTGTGGCTGGAATTAACCATGGGAATTAGTTCAGAGATATGTGGGAATCAATGAGATTTCAAAACGTTCCACAAATTGTTGCATATAGTCTGTACCAAAGCTATAAGGAGTTGGGGTGTAATATGCTCCAATGATCAATTTAATTCTCCAATAAGCAGGATATAGTTTCTTCAGTGCAAACAGCTTTGCAGAACTGTACATTATGGAGCCCCAAATCTAGTCTGGAGTAGATCAACACCCTGTAGATTTGCAGTATATAAGTGTAGTCTGTTCCTGAAGTGGTTGAAGAATACAAAACAGGACATTCAGTGCCTTCATGTATAACACCTTTAGGAAGTTAATGTGCAGTAAGAATGTGAGTGTCTTGTTCAACCCTAGATACATACACTCTGAAACTACTAGGTATGAAACTACTAGGAATTTCAATGTAACTTCAGGATGTAAGCTACACCTTCAGCAAAAGTACAAACAAATGATTTTTGTTTGAGAAAGGTATAGTCACAAAGTACAGCCGATTGGTATACACCAATATATATTGAGAGAGCGGGAAGCTTGTTGTAGTTATCTTTCATTAAACCATGTAACAAAAGACCTACAGAACATCTGGAAATTATCTGCAAAAAGGCAACTGTATGCTATAAGATATGATATCACACTGCAACAAATCTTTACAGAGAAGACAAACACACCGAGAACACTACCTTGAGGGACACTTTTCTCCCACTTGAAAGTCACAACTAACGTGAACCTGGAATGCACATTTCCTCAAAAGGATCTGTATGAAGATGAGGAGATTGCTTCTTAATCCAAAATTATAAGACTTTCTGTTGATTTCATATTTCATAAGCCTTTCCTTCTTCTTTTTAAGTGAACTATCAGTTGATCTGATTTCCAGCTTAATCAGGTGATAAGTGTCTGCAGAAACTATATTGAGTATTTGCCAGTATGTTGTTGGGTTCATGAATGCTGATCATGCATTTCAGAAGCTTGCCAACATGGCATGTCAAAACAACAGGTGGATATACTAAAACCTTAGGATTCAAACCACGCTTCAAAGGAGGTACTTTGTGATAGTCTATATTCTCTATAACAAATCTAGATACACATGATCTAGTTATAGAGGGTCAGCAGCAGATCAAACCCATCTTGAGGCAGTTGTTGTCATCCAGTCCTACCACCATGTTATCAGATGAGTGTGGTACCACTTATACAGTGGTACCTCGGGTTAAGTATTTACCATAATTCGTTCCGGAGGTCCATTCTTAACCTGAAACTGTTCTTAACCTGAAGCACCATTTTAGCTAATGGGGCCTCCCGCTGCTACCGCGCTGCTGGAGCACAATTTCTTTTCTCATCCTGAAGCAAAGTTCTTAACCTGAGGTATTATTTCTGGGTTAGCGGTGTCTAACCTGAAGCATATGTAACCTGAAGCGTATGTAACCCGAGGTACCATTGTAGTAAGAAAGGCTCATTGGCTGTTCTATATTAAAAAAAAATAAAAAATGCAAATTGAGGAAGCTTCTGCCCTAAGTTCAACAGGCAAGAATTCAGCTTGGTAGTTAAGAAAACACACCTTCTAAGATCCTTTCCATTATGATACTGATGGGGAACCTGTGAATACAGTGCCCAGAAGTTTTCAGAATTTTATTCCTAACAGCTTTGAGGCTAACAGCGCTGGCAATTCCAAAAATTGGAACTCTTACCATATGCCCCCTTTCACTGGAATCCGCCAATCCCCTAAATCAAGGAGTCTCAAAAAAAAACAACACACAAATAAATGTTTTTAATTATTCCTCTCCTCTTCTTATTATTTTGACATCAATAGACATTGCCTTACTGGAGCGACTAATGAAAGGTTTGGCATTACTAGATGCATCTCTGAGCATATCATTCTTTTCAAGTGGAGATTTCATTTGATAAGGAACAGATTCCACTGCAACCTCTTCAGTGACTGAGGATTGTGCCATTGCTACATGGCTAGGAGAAGCTTTGGAGGGAGACAGCACACGGGGCTCGGGGAAATAAATATTCACCTGTTGGGACGTGTTTCAGTCTACCATTTAACACAGAAGCATTACTCTCATGGTTCCTCTCCATAGTGACTTTGCCCTCTGTAGGAAAGCTGTTAAGCATCATGTTGTATTAAGTCCATAAGACCAAACTGAGAAACACTGTGATTGTAATTTGTTTTATAACTATTTTTAATGTTGTGCTTTAAATTGTTGTGACCTTCCCTGTGGCAATATAATAGAGACATAAAAAGATAATAAATTAATAATAATAAAGCAGCAGATATAACAGAATCTGATAATAGGGGCATAAAAGGAGACTACTTGATAAATTGAACAGCTACAGAGTCACAATCACAGAGTATCGAATGTATCTGCTGCTGCAGTAGATTTATCTATATGTACAATTATTATTATTATTATTTAATTTTTACCCCATCCTTTCATGGTGCTCAGGGCAAATTATAAATAATGGTAATTCACATGGAACTACTAATATTTGGGTGTGGGAAGGAGGGATGCAACAGAATACAGATTAGGAGCACTCCTTTATCAAGTAGCAAGAAAGTGAAAGTGAGGTAATTAAAAGGTATTACTGGATTTCTAACAAAAGTGCCCAGGAAAATAGTATGTAGATTAAATTACCACTTTAAATGTAAAATGGATTAAAGTTTTTAAGAGCAAAAGAGCTGACATTTTTCCCGCATTCCAATTTTCCATTACTGTCTTATACTTTTACAAAAGTCTAGTGACGTCACGTTGCTTCATTATTTCTACTCTGGAATAAGTGGGTTTATGATCGTTGCAAAAGGTTGTTAAAGGCACTACAAATGGTCTTGGAATTACAGGAGTGTCAATAAATTCAGTATGAGTAAGTTGAAGAGAATATGTCACACCAAACAATAACCAGTTAAAGTTAGTGTAGAGTTGTCTTATTGAAAGCAATTCATGTCAATTTGAGAATCAAGTGTTTCAGATATGCAGCACAGTTCCATTCTTCCTAGCTATGTTTAAAGAACATTAAGAATAAGAGAGAAAATAGCCGTGTGCTTCTATGCATGGCCTTTTAGAAGGAAGTCCTACTGAATTCCATGGGATTTACTCAGAGGTGTGTATAGTAGGATTGCAGTCTAAAAATCACTTTGCAGATTTTATTTGTATATTACAATTCAGCTAACACATTCAGCACACTTTCAAACTGGTTTAAACACATACAAACATTCTAAACATTCACAGAATTACCAGTGCCAGGGATGGGATTTACAGAGCTCTGTTTTGTAAATCAAATACTTTAACTCATTGTTTTATTTCATCCAAAAAAAGGTAGCAAACTTTTTCTGAAGTGTTGGAATTCTGTCCAATAACATAGGTTTTCTTTATTTTAAAGTATTGTGTAACAATGAAAGCATTATAAAAATGGGACTTGGGTGGTATGTATAAATCTTATGATTTCAATGGGATTCAAACATATTAAACACCCTGTTCCTAAACACCTTGTTTGAAAACAAGGTACAATTATATCAGCAGGCCTTATAAGTAATACTGTATCTAAAATTGTGAAGTACTTAGATGGAAGAGTGCAAGTTTCTCTATACTGCAACATTAATTGAAACAAGTGGGTTCCATGGAAGTCAATTTGATACACTGTCAACTAATTCACATAGAATAGGAGTGAGTGTAAGCAGTTACTATACGTTAGATATCCCAAAAATAATGAAATTAATGCTGTAAAGGCTAGAGTGCAGATTGAATACCATCAGTAGCAGAGGACACTTAAAAAAAAAAAAGCAGGAAAAGTCCATTGAAGGGGAAGTAAAAACAATAATTTAGGCAATCAAATTACTTGTTATTTCTGGCCACAAATGTCAAGCTAGAAGAACCACCAATTAATAGTTATATTATTATTAATGTATTGAAGGCAAGGGGCAAGTGAACTATTTGTGTCTTGAAACGAAAATCTGATAAACGTGCAGGCTCTCAAAATAAATCTGAGCAGCACACTGGTTGTGCTTTTGTATGGATTACAGAATTAGGTTGACGAGTTTGAAATAAATTAGAATGTTGATTTAATTAGTTTTTAAAGATATCAAAAATAATCCAGAGTGGGACTTAGTCTGAAGCAAATGTGCACATGACTACAGTCATTACTCCAATTTTTTTGAAGTTAAGGAATGATACAAACAATTGTGAGAGAAAATTCCAAACAGTAACTCAATACTGGTAGCCACAGAAAGGCTATGGGGTCTATAAAGATCACAGTAACAAAGGAAGCCCAATGTTTTCCATAAGTCTAGCATGATACTGGTCAAAGGAAGATTATTTTAAAGTAAGGTACATTTCTTAAAATAAAGCTCATATAGAGACTCTGGGCTGTGTAAATGAGCCTATTCATATTAACTGGCCTATTGCTTACAAAGGATTAGAAGCTCAAATTTCAACCAACATGTCTATGTCTGCACAATCGCTAGTTTTTATAGATTTTAAAAAGGACGTTCACACTGTTAATCATGTTCCCCATTTGTGGGTTGGATCCAGACAAGCATACAGGCAAAGCAGGCCTATTGAAACCAAGGGGACAAGTTAGCCGTGGCTTTTATTTCAATGGGTCTACTCCCAGCATGACTAAATCTGGACTCAACCCATTCTCTGTATTTGACAAAGGGTTGGTAATTTATATAATCTTCTTTTTTTCTACTAGACAGCCAACACTTTGGACAGCTTTAAAGGGGAATTGTACAATTTCAAGAAGGCTATACCCATCAATGTCTTCTAGTCATGATTTCCGTGTGCTCCTCCAGCTGATATGTGACACCACCGTCTGGGGAGCAGGGTACTGTCTCATGTCCTGCTTGTGGGTTTCCCATAGGTGCATCTGGTTGGCCACTGTGAGAACTAGAAGGGGACTTTGGCCTGATCCAACAGAGCTCTTATGTTCTTAGATGCAACCTTAGAATTATTATTTGAAACATGCAAATCAAATTCACTGCAATAAGAGTGTACCGCAGCTGTTATTTCCTACAAGACTGACAAGGGGGGAAATATTTCCAATCTCCTATTTGCTTACAGCTTTTCCGGTGAACATAAACCCATTGGCTACAGAAGCCAAACTCAGAGAACAACAATAGTTTACTGATAGCAAAAGGCTAGAAAATTGTTATTTTTTATTTTATCTGTATACCGTCCTATACCTGCAGGTCTCAGGGCAGTTACAACATAAAATCACAATATGAAAACACAAAATACAGTGGTACCTCGGGTTAAGTACTTAATTCGTTCCGGAGGTCCATACTTAACCTGAAACTATTCTTAACCTGAAGCACTACTTTAGCTAATGGGGCCTCCTGCTGCCGCGCTGCCAGAGCACGATTTCTGTTCTCATCCTGAAGCAAAGTTCTTAACCTGAAGCAATATTTCTGGGTTAGCGGAGTCTGTAACCTGAAGGGTATGTAACCTGAAGCGTATATAACCCGAGGTACCACTGTACATAATAAAAAAGAAAAGCAACCTAAAAGTCGCCTCCTCCCAGTCTCAAATAATCCGTTTCAAATACAGCAGAGAAATTAGGAAGAAGAGGTACTGAATTTCCTATGCCTCTAGAGAGTTTTGCCCCCACTTCAGGACCTCTTCCAGGCAAATATATTCCCAAATCTAATACTGATATGTAAGCACACAGATTAACCATCTCACAGGTATAATAAAAGCATGCCGTCAATTCTTAACCAGCACATTTCCTTTTCAAAGTGGGAACCATCCCGGGGAAGACTAAGGCAGATCAAAGGCGCGAGTTAATAAGGGCAGGGCGAAACCCGCAGAGCACACAAACGCCACTTAGCCAAGGCGCGTCGCCGATTTTAAGAAGCCTGTCCCACGGGATATTCCATCGGATCCTAACTCTCCCCACCCCCCAAAAAACCCCACAGCAAATTCCAGGACGAAACTGCCACCCTGAACGCCCCTGAAGTCACCGTGTGAAAAAAAAGCTACTTGGAAATAAAACTGAGCTCACTTCCGAGTAAACGCGTCTCTCCTTTTTTAAAGGAGTCCATGCATTTTCTCTCCTCGCCACAGCACAATGAAGTCTCCCCATTCCCACTTTTAAAAACTTCAGAGTTTCGCAACTCCTACGAGAACCCCCCACCCATTTTCTCTCTCTCTCTGCGAATATGCAAGTCGGAATCTGGAGAGGGGACGCTTCTCCCAGCTTCGAGCCGGTTTCGAAAGCCTAAGAACGAAAAATTACTTTTCGGTGTGCGCAAATAGCATAAAGAGTCCGGCTTTTTGTTTCTTCCGAAGAGGCGTCCCTGGAAAACCCAGGTGGGCGCTGCCCCCCCCCCCGCGCTCCCCGCCACAGCAGCGCCTCCCGCCCAAGAGCCCCGCGGCACGTCCGCCAGGCCGAACCCAACGAACTTCGCCCCGCAAGTTCCCACTTCGGCGCCGTTACCTGTCGCCGCCGCCCAGACTTCCCGCGCCTCTCTCCCTTCAGCCCACCCTCTGCCTCCCTTCTCCCGCTCCCCAAGGCGCGACTCCTACTACTACTACTCACCAGGAGGCCGACGAAGACCCGGAGGCCGGCGTCCGTCCAGGAGCCCCCCCTGCGCCGCGCTCTCGCTAGCGGGGCCATGCTGCAGCCGGATTGGGGTCGCGCGCGCGAGCGAGCGAAGGTGGGCTCGGCGGGAAAAGGAGACCAGCGGAAACGGCGGCGCGCGCGCGCTGGACGAGCGACCAGGTGAGTCTGAGGCGACCCGCCTGTCTCCACAGCAGGAGCTGCAAGGGTGGCGGCAGCAGCGATAGTGGATCAGCAGAGAGGCGGAGACGGTTGTTTTCTCCTACTCGGGTGATTTTTTGATTTTATTTTTTTTTTGTCCTTCTTCTGTTAACTCAAGTCTCCTCCCGTCCGCTGGAGGATTTGCCTCCGAGCGAGGGTGTGGGGCGAGGCGAAGGGAGGTGAGTTTACCTCAGCGGCTCTTCTGAGCGAGCACCTTTAATTAGGTTTCCTTTTCTCTCTCTCTCCCTCCTCCCTCTTTCCCCTCGCCCCGCCCCGCTTTCTTTCTTTCTGCTCGGCCAGGGAGTGGAGCGGGAGACACCCTGGTTGGCCCCGACCCCGCCCCGCTGCTGGGCAGATAGGAGATGCGCGGAGGATTAGCACACGCCGTTCCCAGCTGCTTCGCCCCTGACTGTGTCCGGAGAGCGAGACTCGCGCGCAGGCAGGGCAAAGGTGCGAGGCGGGCCGCGACGTCACGGCCTCTGTCTTCAGGTTGCCCTGGACGTCCAGGGCCGCCTCTCCAGGCAAGCCCGGGCTGCTTCCATGGGCGTCTGGGAAACCAGCAGAGCCTCCCACCAGGGGAGACCCTGCAGACGCCGGCGCCCTCGCCCACACTCAGATCAGGAGTTCACATAGCTGTCTTTAAAAACAAACAAACACCTCGTTCTGAACAGGGAAAAAGTCCCTACGAAGTCTAGTTTCGCTTTTCTAGACCCGCTTTCAATGCGTCCATTCCTCTCTCTCTCTGCCAAAGCGACGTCCTGCAGCCGCGCCCTCTTTTCTCTCATGGTGCACAGGTTGCTGAGCAGAGAGCATGCAAGTCTGCGCCTGGCTCATTTTCTGTTATTAATAACAGAATTATTTGTAAAAAAATTATTTGTGGACTGAGTAGTACTAAACAGGATTACTCTCATAACAGACGAGCATAGGCGCCTTTAAAACATTTTATCCAGTACAGATGGGATCTTTTTTATTGAGGAGAAAGAAACACAATAAAGAAAAATGGGGGTACCCACAGAGAAGCACCTTTCGGGGTGGCAGAACACCACCTGATTTATTAGGAAATGTTTTAGCATTTGGGAACTGTTGCACAAGCATGCATTCTGAATGGTATGGAGAAGTGTATGTTATACTGTAATCTGGAAACATTTTAAAGGGATTCTGCCTATATTCTATACCACAGCTCACTTTTTTAGATTACTAATTAACCAACCACCACTGTTTACTTCTGTCAATACAAGTATACTTATTGTTTTTTTCTTGATTGCATGGAAAGGCAAACCAGTTGCTGCAGAAGAAAGTAGCTATCACTGAGCAATCATAAATTGTCAGATTCCTGGGTTGTGAAATACCAGCTACTATGGCAGGGGGGAAAACTTTTCAGGGCGATCCTCTGACACTGCAGTCTTTAGCATACAATAGGTGTCATATTTTGCACAACAGGACAGTTCAAATTGTATTTCACAATGAGACTATCCAGTGTTGGTGTGAATGTGTGTGTGTGTGTGTGTGAGAGAGAGAGAGAGAGAGAGAGAGAGAGAGAGAAAGAAAGAAAGAGAGAGAGAATAAAGGAGCAATGTGATTATGTGTATGAGAAAGAATAAATGGATAGATAAAATAATGAATAGAAGAGAGGAAGGAACTAAGCAGAGGCTGGAGGACCCAAAGGGAGGCAGGTGTTTGTGTGTGTGTGACAGAGAGCGCGCGCGCGCACAGTGAATTAATGAGAGAAAGATGAAGGGTGAGTGGAAGAGAACCCCAAAGGGAGGTAGGAAGGCTGGCCAGTAGGGTTTGGGAAAGCCTATGTATGAGAGCTCCTGCCAACCTAACAGTTTGAAAGCACGTCAAAGTGCAAGTAGATAAATAGGTACCGCTCCTGCGGGAAGGTAAACAGCGTTTCCGTGCGCTGCTCTAGTTCGCCAGAAGCGGCTTAGTCATGCTGGCCACATGACCCAGAAGCTGTACGCTGGCTCCCTCGGCCAATAAAGCGAGATGAGCGCCACAACCCCAGAGTCGGTCACGACTGGACCTAATGGTCAGGGGTCCCTTTACCTTTACCTATGTGTGAGAGAGGGAGGAGATAGATGGATGGAGAGAAAGGGGGTGCATAGTCTCTGATCTATATAGCCCCTGACCTCTTTCCTCTGAAGGAATGTGATTTTCAACTACAATAAGGTTGCCCACCACCCAGAATTTTGAGTTGACAATAATGCTAATACAATGAGAGGTGCCATATTCCCCCAGTTGGCGCAGGTCCATGTTTAAAATAGATGTTGCCTATTCCATATCATCACAGCCCTGTCAGAACAGGATGGCCAATAATGCAAACCTGTAAGGCCATCTGAAGATGGCTATTTCACCCAAATAAGATTATCCAGATCTGAGTTAAATTGGAGTTACGGTACCATAAGAGGTTCATGTTAACACATACAGTGGGAATTAACCATGGCAATGAGACAAATACTATTGATTATCAAAGGATTATAGGGATTATAGAGGAAAGTATTTGATCCTCTTATCGTTCTGTTGGGAACTCTCTGTGTGTATGTGTGTATTTGCACTTGCCCACCATTATGCAGTAGTTTGCATAGCTGGTAACAGATGGCGATGCAAACTGCAGTGTGTGTGACAAGAAGCAGTGGATGGGCAGCCATGGGGAGCTGCAGAGGGGCAGCAAGAATATGCAGCTGCTCACTCCTCCACCTCCCAGTGTCAGCGGCCCTGCCCCCAGGATCCAGATCCTCAAGCAGGCTGGCACCACTACTGACTGCCCTCATCCTCTGCAGCTGGCCACCAGTTAGCACCAGTTAGTAGTATGAGGAGTGGCATGGGAAGGAAAAAGATGCCCATAAGCATTGGCCAGCCTCGTGATCCATAGTGGCACGAGGTGGAAAAGGACAAAGTGGCAGCCAGCCAGACCCAGGATCCATAGTGTCAGGAGCAGCACGAGGTGCTAAGAAGAAGGTCTCAGCTCCCCTGCACTGATCCTTCCAATTGATGCCTGGTGTTGAAAGGTTCAGTGTGGGGTGGGCTTGCAAAATGCAAGCTTTCTCACTTTCCACTTGGGCAGCAGCAGGGGGAAGGAACACAGTTGCTGTGGGAAGCAGGAGAAGGAAGCAGGGGGTGATACAGAACCTGGGAGGGGGTTGATGAGTTTAGCGACCAAGGGCACAGCCATGTGTGTGCATGTGCATAGAGTATTATGTTTGTAGCATTTTAATGGCATTTCGTATATTGCTGGTAAAGCTGCCATAGGCTTCAACTTCCATATATTGAGGCATGAAAATGAAAAGTATGAAGTAAAATGTTAATGAATAAATTAACATGCTTTGGAAGACATGGCGGGAGGTGATGCAGGTGTGTTTGTGTGTGTTTTTAACTAAATCATCTTTTTTATTCAATACTAGACAGACTAGACCAAGAGAAGCAGGTTTTCAAGTTATATTGGATGCATGTGAAATAGGTAAGGTGTGATACTTCCAATATTGTAATTCTACATTACTTCTTACTTTTTATTTTAAAAATATCTATGATTGTAAATTTATCTGAATATATACTGCTCACTGAAGATACAAGGACTAAAGTTTTCAGTCTCCATGTATGTGCAGATGTTTATATATTTTTAGTGTTACTATTGATTCTGCGGTCTGTTTGCTGTTTGCTATATATATATATCACTATTTATAATTTATTCAGAGTTCAGTACATATTTTGTTTGTGTTCTTTTACTGCCATTTAAACAAGAATTTAGAATGCTTATCATACTCAAAACTGGTACTTATATGCCTGTTTTTTTTATTTCTGAATTGATCTTTCTCTTTTGTGGGGATATTGTTGAAAGATTCCCTTTTATTTAGAAGATAGACCCATATCCAAAATGAAAACCGAATAACCAATGTACAAATAAATATAGTCCTGCCTAAGAGATTTGCACCACTTTTTATTTCTCTTTTTATTTATGGTTATCCCATCCATGTAGATGACACACAACTTGTATTTTGCTTAGAGAATAATTACCCATAATAACCTAAGTGCTATTCAGTTATTATTCATACTTTAGACTCTATGACCGAATAGACCATGGAATTGGCACAGTGATTTTATAGCACGTTCTTTTTTCCCTGTCCTGATGATCCACATACGACTCACATTCCATATAGGAATAGTTGCACTAGAAAGGAGTTGCACTAATGTATCTGCAGAACAATCTATGATCTGTTGTGCTATTATTTTCAATCCTATTATTAAGTACCAGTCAACCACCTGTTATTAATGCAAATGTGGTATGGGTGGGAAGCTTCGGAGTATGCATAGTGTTGCCTGAGCACTATTATATTGGGCATGGATGCAATGTCATAACTGGGGGGTAGCCAGCAAAGGGCAGAGGCAGTTATTGCAAGGGAAGACCTGCACTTGGGTCCTGCTTGCCTGCTTCCTATAGGCATTTGGTTGGCCACCATAAGAACAGGATGCTGGACTAGATAGGCCTTTAGCCTAACCCAGCAACATTCTTCTTATGATCTTACGAGGAGCTTCAGCCGCTGCAGCAATAATTGTTCCTTATTTTAAACAATTATTTGCTGGTTCAGGGTTGTGGTTTTGTGAGCCCAAGGGTTTTTCCCTCAGAGAGAAGCCACCCATTCCACATGGCAAACTGCTTTTGAAATTGGGGTTTTCAAAGCTAATTTATGATATCACATAGGAGTCACTGCCAAAATTACTACCTGAATAAAATTTGTGTAAATGTTGTATCCTATTCTGCCTGTATACATGGTGCTGTTGTCGTTGAGATATATAACAAAGTGTCTTTAGCCATATTTTATTGCAATGTTTTTCCAGTAGCTTGTAAGTCTTTCGATTGTATACATTTTTTTCAAAGTATTGTTGCAATTTCTCTGTAACCACAGTCAGTGCTTAAAAAGTAAATCCCTTTCATAATTGTTCTCCTAAAACAATACAGTGGTACCTTGGGTTAAGAACTTAATTCGTTCCGGAGGCCCGTTCTTAACCTGAAACTGTTCTTAACCTGAAGTACCACTTTAGCTAATGGGGCCTCCTGCTGCCACTGCGCCGCTGCTGCACGATTACTGTTCTCATGCTGAAGCAAAGTTCTTAATCTGAGGTACTATTTCTGGGTTAGCGGAGTCTGTAACCTGAAGCGTCTGTAACCTGAAGCGTATGTAACCACTGTAAATTGAGAACATAAATTATAGGCATCTCAGAAATCACTGGAAATTATCTGTCTTATATTCTCACATTTACAATGATGGAAGAGACTAACAGTGCAATCCTGTATGTTTCAACTCGGACATTGAGTCAACAGAGCTTATTGACCGGAAAGAGGATACTGTATTGACTTGCAGCCTAAAAGTCTGTACAATGCAACCTGTAAGACATGACCAATCATAAATGGCAACTATCACATAGCAGTTTCTGCAGCCATGATGCCTGGGGGGGAGAGGGTGTTACAGGAAAAGAGTCACAAAAGCTTGTGTGCTGTAGCGGCTGACTTGTTGGGTTTGAATGTGAAAAACTCCATAATAAATCCTGACTTGGCTAGGAAGTGCACTTGATGGCCTTTGGTAAACCATTACCTTCCAAATTTATCTCTCTTTAAGGGTTCTTATTAGGTTATAAACACTTTGGATGATGAGTAATATACAAGCATGAGAAGAAAGAGGTGACTACATACTATAATGACTGTCCAACGCTGTGGTGGTTTTGCACTGTGGTTGCTGTGTTAATTGTTTGGGTGACAACAGGGACATTTAGATAGCTGCTCACCTGGAAAGCTTAGGTGTATGTGTAAAACGGTGCTGAATAAGCTCTGACGTGTTTTGTGTAATCTCATTTATATGCTTTACCTTTCCCTTCTCTGACCAGTCTTATATTCTAAAAAAAACTTGGCATTAATAAAAGGCAGTCATGGGCCTAGTTGTCACAGAGAGCAGGTGGGCTGGTGAAGGCTGCATCTCTTCAGATTGACGGTAGGGGCCCACACGACTGAATGTTCTTTCCTACACAAAAATTCCCCAAATAGCTGTACCATCATAAGAAAAACAGTAGCAGGACTGTCAGCTTTGCTCCACCACAATCTGCCCCTCTCCCCTCCCCTCTCCCTCTCTGCAAGGGGCAGCTAGAACCTTTACTCCAGGCATCCCCAAACTCGGCCCTCCAGATGTTTTGGTACTACAATTCCCATCATCCCTGACCACTGGTCCTGTTAGCTAGGGATGATGGGAGTTGTAGTCCCAAAACATCTGGAGGGCCAAGTTTGGGGGTGCCTGCCTCACTCCTTTGTTTTCTACATACCAGACCCTTTTGTGAATAGAAGAGGATTAATTCACATAACACATCTGCCCCAAATGTGTCCTTATCCACATAGTTTTAGAGAACTAGGCCTCATTTTAAAACATGAAAACTTTAATATATAAAACAATATATTCTTGTAGCAGAAGATCAGCGAAGCTAAGTGTGCACAGGCACCCTTTTTATCACAGCAAAAGGATCCCAGCTGCTTTTACAATCAACTATTTTGCCACAGATTGGGGCTACATTACTACATTTTCCTGCCTTTTATAGGCTGTCATAACAAATAAGCACAATTTTGTAAAGATGCAAAACAGGCAGAGATTTTAATGGTCTACTTAGCTATATTAGTCCGAATAGCTGTTTTCTTTGGTAGATAAAACAAGGAAACAGTTGAACAAAATCATGTTTTTTGCACACAAATCACCCATCTGGATTAGGGGCATGGAAATCTACACCATATTTTTAGGGTTTTATCTGCCGTAACTGTAGCTGGGTAGGAGTTTTGCCCACAGCACTGAACAGCTCTTATTCTAGTCATCAGCTTTTTCTACTCTCTGAAACCATCAGCACTGTCAAAACAGATAATTGGTCCAGCAGGAAAAGCCTCAATTTCAGCAACATGAAAGCAGCCTAATGTAGTACAGTAGAAGAAGACTGCTGCGTTTGCATGCATGTCTGTTAGAGCTGACATTTGGGCAATTAATAAATTACATGTAAAAGTGTGCAAACAATGCCTTAAACATCTCTCAAGGCATCTGGGAGCTACACTTTACCCTGTCAGGGTAGTATTTCCGGTATGGGAGGCACAGTTCTGAGCTATGCTCCTAGAGGCTGCAGGGCAGTGTTCTAATTCCTTCTCACTGCAGAAGTGTCATGAGAAGAAACTTTGTCATATTCTGCTTTCAACATTTTCCATTATCGCAAGCAGCTTACAATCATAACAGGTCGCTTTCAGTCATACTGTACAACATTAATTTATGATGTGACTATTATACAGAAGTATATTAATATTTTTAGCATACAAAACAAATGAGCTCCTGTTTAAATGCCAGTTTATTTTTGAAAGAACAAAACTTTATCAGATATTTAAAATAATCAGCAAGGAAGTATTATTTATATTCAACTAGACCATTTGTCTTCATCCAGTGGGCCAGGACTCACTGCTGGATCACAACAGCAGCACGACCATCACCACATAAATACACTGTATAAAATTAAGAAATGGGCCTCTAAATGCATGTTTTGGTTAAAGGTCTGAAAAGGCTAGCGACCGGGCAGTTCTCAAAAGTAACCTTTTTGATGAAATATCAATAACTCTCTTTAATTTCAATCCAGAACAGCACTCATCTCTGGAATAAGTGTATGGAAACAGCCTTAATGCATTTTGGTAAAGATTAGATAAAATTGAGAATATTGGAATATTAAGAAAGATTATTTCTGAAAGGTTGCTATGCCAGTTTTGCATATTTCTCTTTGCCAACCTGATGCCCTCCAGATGTTTTGACTATGATTCCCATCAGTGTTGTTTGGGAATGATGGGAACTAGTAGTAGCCCAAAACATCTGGAAAACACAAGGTTGGCAAAGACTGATGTATTCACTGACCTGAGCTTTGCATACAAAACTTTTTGAATTTGATTTCATGGCCTCTTGACCTCACTGTTTACCGTGTTTTGTGTGTGTGTGTGTGTGTGTGTGTGTGTTAGAAAATACGTAATGCATCTGAAATTTAGTTTTTTGCTTGGTTAGCTGATCTTCATTTTATGCTCAAGTTCAATTACCTTGTGGGCAGGATACCAAATATAGCACCAGGCAAATTTTAGACATATCAGTAGTCCTTGTTATTGCTATGATTCTTCAAGCACTTGTCCTAAGCCATATAATCTAATCAATATGCAGTTTCAACATATTGATCAGCTCTGCTGGGTGGACAGAAGCCAGAGGCAAGAGTGAAAAAGGATCTGAAAGGCAAATAGCATGTGACGTGTGGGCCTGGCAGCAGTTTGCACATGCTTGCTCTCATACACACATGGCATGAGGGCTTTATTTTTTATTTCATTGCAGGAGGAGCTACAGAAAAATAAATGGAGAACCTATATGCTTACAACTGCTGTGTGGACAGAGATAAAGTATGGAGGGCTTTTAATGGCATTTATTTGCTAGTGGACTAGTGCTGCTTTCCAATTTAATCTTATTTCCACAGTTCAGGCTATAAAATCTAAAGGTTGTATCCAGTACATTGTTATGCACATGAGTTGTGTTGATTTCAGCTGGACTTCCTAGGCAACTATGCGCTGGCTTAGTTCAGAACCCAGTACACAGATGATATGTAAGAAAATAAAAGAATACAAATAAGCAATTAATATAAGAAACTAAGAAAATACTTTAACATGCACACCAGTAGCATTTCATAGTTATTACTAGAAGTCTTTGAAAAGAGACACTAAACCAAGTAATACTTTCTATTTACCAGACATGTGCCAGATAATATTGAAACTGAAATAATAGAGTGTTACTGTTTCCAAAGGGTGTTTTTAAAGATAAGGACGAAACTACATTTTGTTAAAAACATAAAATTAGGCACCTGAGCTTAAAACTGTTTTGTGCAGTTAGGTCAAATTTCAGAATCTCAATTATTATTTTTTAAAAACCCACTAAATCAACTCTTTTAGAGCCTACTTAAATAAAAAATGGGGGGGGGAGAGAGACATGTGAATGGGGACAGCCTACAGTAGGCCATGCTTTCCTGCTCAAATCCTATTGGGATGAACTAGGGAGGTACAAGAACATTAATTCATTTCAATGGAGTTAAGAAGATAAGACGAGCCTGCTGTGTCAGACCAGTGGCCCATCTGGTCCAGCATCCTGTTCTCACAGTGGCCAACAAGTTGCCTTTGGGAAACCAGCAAGCACGTTCTGGGCACGAGAGCACTCTTCTGTCCTGTGGTTTCCAGCAGCTGGTATTCAGAAGCATTGCTGCCTCCAACTGTGGAAGTTAGCACATAGCTTCCTGTAGAATTGTGCAGGTGGGTTTCAGAACCAATGGAAGCATGCTTCTTCATTACAAAGGCTTCAACCAATGTCTTAAAAGCAGGCTCTGGCTCATTTAAAAACTCAAGTTCTTCTGATGATGACTCGCCAGTACAGGAGCTTAGGGAACCAACCAGTGATCCTTTTCCTTCATATTTATATGAATGTACATATTCGCCGACACGTTTACGTTCTTCCTCCTGTTCACACAAAAACACCTTCTGCACACAAAGAAAGTACACATTAACCATTTTCTTAAATGCACCTAAACATAAATCAGAGCTTCTAACTGGTTCCTGCATACAAAGAAGAATATAATTCATGTATATGATTCATACTATTTAAGTCCCTTTCTATAAAGCATAACAATGCAGTTTGCATACTGTTTATTAAAGGCAATGATCAGCTTCTTGTGTCAATCTATACCATACTACACAGGATAGAATCACTGGGTTGAAAGGGATTTTCTAGCCGCCTATTTATTAATATTTATTGTGCTTTTATGTCACCCTTCATTCAACAGAATGCCTGGGCAGTGAACAAAATACCCCCTTCCTGGTCAGTACAGAATCTGTGGGCTTGCTTTCTTTTATCAATTTCCTAACTAGTGCAGACCAGAATGGAACTCTTTCATCTTGTTTTCTGAGCACTGTGCTGCTATAAATGCAACCTAAGATTGCATTAGTTCCCGTTGCTCTGTCCCAGCTCCTGCCAACCTAGCAGTTCGAAAGCACGCCAGTACAAGTAGATAAATAGGTACTGCTGTGGCAGGAAGGTAAACGGTGTTTCCGTGCGCTCTGGTTTATGTCACGGTGTTCCATTGTGCCAGAAGCGGTTTAGTCATGCTGGCCACGTGGACAAACACCGGCTCCCTCGGCCTGAAAGCGAGATGAGTTCTTTACCCCATAGTCGCCCTTTACTGGACTTAACCATCCAGGGGTCCTTTACCCTTACATTTTTTACCTTTTATTAGCCTCCACATCACACTGTGGGATACCTTGAGCATCAGCATTAGGCTCTGCATTCAAATAATGGAAGCATTTGAATAGGTAGGACTTTCTCAGTAGTTGCACCAAAGCTCTGAAACACCATCCCAGAGGAAGGTGGTCTGGTTTTCCCCACTCTTTGGGCTATGTTGTCTTGCTTGATAAGTGACTGATACTATTTTATACTGCTTGTATGAGGCATTCATTGATGGTATTGACTTGTTTTCTGCTGTGATCTTTATGGATTGTGTTTTATCTCACTGCTTTATGCTATTTAGTATTATAATTGAATTTTTAGCTTTTATTGTATTAATGGCATGCTATGCTGTGAGTGACCTTTGATTCTTTTTTGGAAATAAATTAATAATTGTGGGCCATACAAACACCTCACAAGCACGAACAACATGGATCTTTCCAGTAAAACAGCCTAAGTATATCAAATAACTAGAGAGCTACAGCCAATATTAAAATCCAGAATATGAACTGACTGTAGCTACTTACCGTATTTTTCGCTCTATAACACGCACCTGACCATAACACGCACATCGTTTTTAGAGGAGGAAAACAAGGGAAAAAACATTCTGAATGAAACAGTGGATGTATCATTTTTGTGCTTCATGCTGTGGCCACAGACATGTGATCTGATGGTGAATTTGGGGTGACCCAATGCAAAAATCCTGATAATTCCTGTGGATCCATGCTTTGTAACCACGTTTTTGCACCATTGCAGCCCCAGGCAACAGTGGGTGCGTGATTTTTTGGGTGCAGGCTGTAGCCATGGACATGCTATGTGATCTGATGGTGAATTTGGGGTGACCCAATGCAAAAATCCTGAGGATCCATGTGGATCCATGCTTTTTAACCATGTTTTTGCACCATTGCAGCCCCAGGCAACAGTGGGTGCGTGATTTTTTTGGTGCAGGCTGTAGCCATGGACATGCTATGTGATCTGATGGTGAATTTGGGGTGACCCAATGCAAAGATCCTGAGGATCCATGTTGATCTATGCTTTGTAACCACATTTTAAGTGGGGAGCGAAGGAAAAACAAAGAAGGGACAGGAGAGGGGTGTGCAGAGAAGCAGCTGGCTAAGAATGCTGGAGAGGGATTTAACGGGTGGGAGGCAAAAGTTCCCCCCCAAGCCAGCCAGCCATCTCTCTCTCTCTCTCTCTCTCTCTCTCTCTCCCTCTCCCTCCCCCACTCTCCCTCCCCCACTCTCTCTCCCTCTCCCCCAGCAGTACCGGAGCACAGAGACGACACTTTCCCCTCTGCTTGCCTGGAGGGGAGGGGCTTTCCCTGCTCTTTGTTCCGTTTCAGCAATCACAGCAACGAAACAGAGGAGGGTGGGCAGTAAGACCCTGAGGCAGAATACAGGAAAGCTGCCACTTCCTCTTTTCAGGTTTCCCTTCTCCGTGAAGAGCGATTTGACTTTTGCTTGATTTTTTGGCTCCAGGGACCACACATTCGCTCCATAACACGCACAGACATTTCCCCTTCCTTTTTAGGAGAAAAAATCTGCGTGTTATAGAGGGGAAAATACGGTAACTGAAATATATCACACTACGGTGGATAGTCTTAACATTAATCCAAACATAAACCATGGGAAATCTGTATCAGTATGCTTACTTTAGCTAAATGAGGATTGGTAAATTCCTGCCATTGTGAGCACAAATCTCTGGAGGAACTCCGTATGGGTTGTTTGATATTGTGTAAAGATGCTGTCAAGTGATTTCCTCCACCTTTGAATAATTCTGGTTTGCGATACCCTCTGATATCATGTAAAGATGCTGCCAATAGAGTTCCTCCGCCTTTTACTAATTCTGGTTTGCGATGCCCTCTGATATCATGTAAAGATGCTGCCACGATATTTCCTCCGCCTTTGACTAGTTCTGGTTTGCGATGCCCTGTAATATCATGTAAAGATGATGCCAAGAGTTTTCCTCCTCCTTTGACTAATTCTGGTTTGCTTTGCCCTCTGATGTCATGTAAAGATGCTGCCAGTTTATTTCCTCCACCTTTGACCAATTCTGGTGGGTGATGGCCTTCTCCTTTTATCACTTCCAAACTTCCCTGCTTTCCAGTTTTCTCTGCAACTGTGCCCATGCTTACAGCTGTATTCAGTGTGCTCACTGGAAGTATATTTAGAACCTGAAAAGAAAGATAACAGCAGAATTTTGTAAAAGAAGCAGCAGTTTCTTTTTACCATCTATAGTTTGCGAGATAAGATTCCTGAATTCTCGGAAAAACAGGGCCTGAACCCAAACCAACTATTTTCCCCATTATGTATACATATCGCATACCAACTCAAAGCAGTAACTTGTGGGCCTTACCATCTCCACAACTCAGCAACTCTCTTGCCTGCATGCCATTCCAGGATCCAGAAATACATTTTGCAGCACCAGGCCACATAACAACCTGTAGGTCCTCTTATAACCACGATAAAGTGCTGCAGCTAACTTACTGCCCACCATCTTATTTGGCAAGTAGAGTTGGCTTAACTTGACCTCCAAACCCAAGAAAATGAATCCCAATCTTTTCTGAACCCAGAAACGTAGCCATGTTCATTAATTTCCATGTGTATATTCCGAATAAAACTTAGTTGAATACCACCTTAGGTTTTGGAATTTTTGGGGTGCTCAGCAGTCTTCTTACTGATCCCCCACCTTTCTCTGTCTCTCACTCACACGCTCTCTCACACCCACAGTGCAGGAGTTAGCTCAAAAGTACACACACTAAAAAGATAAAACATTGCAAGCATGTTTTTCCCCTTTTATAGTAACACAGCAACTCTAATATTTAGTGCGCACCCACCCACCCACACCCCACATTTTAGAAAGCAAATGCAGTACGGAACTTCATAACTTTTAGCCAAAAAATGCTACTTACTGTCATTTCTTCACCTGGTGCCTCTGTGTTTGACATCATTAAGTTCTCAAAAGCTGCATTATTAGACGCTTCTGCAGGTGCTTCTCCAGGCGCTGCTTCAGTATTGGAATTTCTTTTATGGAGCCAGTAACCACAGGGTACCATCATCCCCGCTGTAGAAAGAAATACACATAATCTGAGCTTTAGTTTTTAATTATGTGATTCAAAGTCATGCATGAAGGGAACTGAATTTAATAAGTAAATTGTTACATATTTTCTATAAAGCAAATAGCATCGGGGGCCGGCATGTACCTCAGGAAGTGGGGGGTTGGGGAAGTAAATACAATACTCAAAGTAAAAGGTGGCTCCCCATTTGTGAAATGCTCTCTCCAGGGATGTTCAGCTGGTACCTTCATCATACACCGTTGGGCACTAGGTGAAAATGTTCCTCTTCAACTAAACCTTTGGCTGATTAACATCCTATAGCCTTTTAAATGTTTTGGGGGGAGCAGGAGGAGGTTATTGGTTTGGTTTGGCTTGTTCTTGTTCTTATTATGTTTATTTGTGTCTTTAGCTTGTATTTTTATGCTCTGAACTACCCTGAGATCTATGGATGAAGGGTGGTGTACAAATCTAATGAATGCGACTAATAATAAAATGCTATGGATGATTTTTCATTTCAGGGCATTCCCCCCTCCCTTTTCTTCCTCTGGAAGATTTGATAGCTCTGGAAAAGAGGCCTAGTTCTCCCAAACAGCAAACAGTCAGCATGTATGTACAGAATGCAGTTGAGATATGCACGTTTTGCAAGGCCTGTTGGAGATAATGCATTTTGGCCAGAGAACATACCTAATGTAGTTGATACATGCACAATGCCCAAAGCTTGTTGTGGATTGTACAAATTGACCAGGAAATGTGCAGAATTCCATCTTCGTGGACATGTGCACATTTTCCATGACACCTGGTGAATGTGCACAGTAGCTAATTGCTATGTGCATTTTCCATTTAACATACCTATATACACAAACATGGAACTAAGCCACCTTAAGTGAACATTTAGAACTCCAAGGAAGAGTCAAGGGAGAAGCAGTTTTGCAACAGACTGGAATTAATGGCTCATTTTGTATATCATCTATAAGAGAGAGATATACTTACACAGTGATAATACTGATCCAAGGACTGTTGCAGCAATGCCCCAGGGACCAAAAGCAGATTCTGCTTGATATGGAACACGATCTACAGGGATTGCCCCATTCTCCAGAGCGGCGACTGTGCTGCGTTCAGAACAATTACTTGGAATGTCACAGTCACAGTAGTGAACTGTTATTTCACTTATTCCACTGTTACCTTCATTATCATATATCCTAACAGGTATTATATAATAGCCATAGTCAATATCTTCCACGGGTGAAAGCAATGCTGATTCATCTGTAAAACAAATTGTGCAATGATGAACATTTTTACATTATTTGTTCTCTTAGCTACAGTTATTATTACAGAAGTGGGACAGGGAAAACCATGTACATACCATCATTTGGTGTTAACCTCCATGTTAAGCCCATTCGATTCTCTATTTCAAAATGGAAAGGTCCAGTGTAAGGAGGTAGATCGGCATCGAAGGCCGTAATACAAATTGGTGTTTTGTCCTTACACATGGTATAATTCTTTGTTGTAATCACTGGGAAATTGTCATTCTCATCCATGATGTTTATCACAATTTTCCCTTGACCTGTTTTACCACCTGGAAAATGGAAGTTTTTCATGATTTAATGCTGTAAATAGTCACACACTGTCACAGTAGCAGGCTTCAGCTAATCTGTGCAAATATGTAGTAGTGGAAAAAAGTTCTGCCCCAAATATAGAAAATTATAAGAATTTTTATCTCTCTCTCTCTCATGGATTAAAGCTAGCTTTTAGACTTATTTCTGTGGCAACAGGGCAACAAACTAGGAATTCAGTTCAGCAACAGAAGATGGAGTTTGGCATAGGACTCTGAGGAAAATGCAACCTTTTTGGTATCAATTTACCAAGTGAATAAGCTTAGAAAAAAACATCTGAATTAAGTTTTTCCTATCCGGGTCTACACTTAAACAAACAGCAAAAACCAGGGCTAGGAGGGGAATAGTGCTTTTTTTAGGGGGATACAGTGGCACTGTGGTCTAAACCACTGAGCTTCTTGAGTTTACAGATCATAAGGTCGGCAGTTCTAATCTGTGTGATGGAATGAGCTCCTATTGCTCTGTCCCAGCTTCTGCAAACCTAGCAGTTCAAAAGCATACAAGGGTGAGTAGATAAATAGGTACCGCTGTGGCGGGAAGGTAAACAGCATTTCCATGCGATCTGGCTTCTGTCACAGTGTCCCATTGCACCAGAAGCCATTTAGTTATGCTGGCCACATGACCCGGAAAGCTGTCTTCAGACAAACATTGGCTCACTTGGCCTGAGAGTGGAAATGAGCGCCGTACCCCATAGTCAAATTCAACTGGACTTAGCTATCCAGGGGTCCTTTACCTTTTACCATTTAGTGCTCTTTTTAAACACTTACTGAATTATCAACAAGATTTCAAAATATTTATTCGCAAAAATGTCTGTACTGCCATTCAGAAAAAATAAGCAGCATGAAATTGATAAAATTGCATTCATAAAACAAGTACAATATATGTGGATTTGGTATTATTTAATTTAACCTTTTTATGATTCAGTTTACTGGGTTTTTCTGTTATTTCATTTTCTTCACGGTAGCAAGCTTATTATATATAAAATACAGATGGAACCATGATTTATATCCATATTGTGAGCTCACTGATGTCATAGGATTAGAGTTCTTTTAACACTGTGGTTTAAAAGAAAGATACAAAATACTACTGCAAATATGTAGATGGCATAATCAGCAGTTTACAAGCATTTATTACTCACTTTGGTCAGTTGCAGAGACTGTTACAATGCATTGACTGTATTCCTCATTTAATATATCTCTGTCTAAAATTGTAGTGGTTATCAGCTGTCCTGTTTCATCAATGGTGATCCAGTTGCATGGGTCATTTATTATTCCGTAACTATTGAGAACATTTTAGGAGGGTTGTATACCGTTAGTACAATGTGATAATATAAACCAATTATAATTGTTCCCTGTTTTTAACCACAATCTATAAACCAGATTACTGTGTTATAATTAAAAGTGTACCTTATGCCTGTGCTCTCTCCAGTTTCTGGGTCATATGCTTGATAGATTCCAACCACTGTTCCTTTTGGGAAAGATTCCCTTAAAGTTATAATATATTCAGTGGCAAATGTTGGCCCCTCATCCACATCCATAACTTCAATCACAATTGTGGTGGGGTTTCTTGATGGAGCTCTAGAATTTGGTGCTAGGATATAAGGTGCTTCATTATTTACAACAATTTCTAATCTTCTCTCCTTGGAAGTTTCATAGTCCAGTCCCTGGAAACAAACACATTTCTGTTAAAACTAACGCAATATTTATTACTGGGTTGCTGTTATAAACTTTGAACAAATATGGTAAAAATTATGTGTGGAATCCAATGGGTGTCACTCTGCTGACAGAAGACATGCATAAGCAGAACAGGGAGGGGAATTTTTGGGGGGTGATTTCTCTGGCCAGGGACTCTGCAGAGTAGATTAAGGGGATGTGGGCTGCATAGGGAGTCTTCAAAAATTGCCTCCCTATTGGTATAGTGAATTCCTTCCATTAGTGGAATGACACCTTTTGGATTCCACACAATGGTTATCAATTGGTATTTTGCAATTTCATTAAGTTTCTTGCCACCCTTCCTATTCCTCATACTTGCTTATTTCCCCCAAATTGCATAAACCATGGATAAATTTCCTTTAGGGAAACATTTCAAGCTTGGGAACCCTTGGAAAATAGTTACAAATATAACATTTCAAGAACAGCCTTTCAGGGCTTAAAATTATGTTGCATACCATCAAATAATTTCCAAAAAAACTCTAGATGATTCCCGTTAGTAATATACCTTTGTACCACAGGTAATTTTTCCCCTTCTGCATTTACCTTTAAAACAAGTAAACACCCGACATTCCTCTCTTGATCAATATTCATAGAAAAAGCATTATCTTCATTTCCTTTTATAATTGTGAATTCAGCCAACCATGAAGGAGTCCCAGGTTCATCATTATCTCTTACAGGAATGCACAATATTTCTATATTTTCTTCGTTTTCATATATTTTCACTTCATACTGAAATGAAGTTTTCAAGTAAGCAATTAATAAACACTTCTAGAACAGTGAAATTATTTTCCAAAAGCAACAATAAAATACTTTAACTCCAGTGGTGAAGCTGCAGAGTTTCAAGCCTTGTGCAGATCTGACACTACCAGACTTGATCTGAGCCACAATTGGGAATGGCTAGCTCACTACAGGATGTGATTGTCCCTTGGTGTTCACATATACAGTGGTACCTCGGGTTAAGAACGTAATTCGTTCTGGAGGTCTGTTCTTAACCTGAAAATGTTCTTAACCTGAAGCACCACTTTAGCTAATGGGGCCTCCTGCTGCCGCCATGCCACCGGAGCACAATTTCTGTTCTCATCCTGAAGCAAAGTTCTTAACCCGAGGTACTATTTCTGGGTTAGCGGAGTCTGTAACCTGAAGCGTCTGTAACACATTTTATTATTAATTTTGCTTTTCCTGTTCATTATCTTTGGAGATTAGACCACATCCACTCTTGAGTTGATACTTTACCCCTAGGATGGGAATTTGTTTGCATCTATGCCTTGTTTGCATTTGTATCTTAGTTACCATAGTAATAGGATACACGGATCTCTTGTTTTGGTGGCCTCCTGGCCACACATGGTAATAGCATTCCACTCCCACCTCTTCTTTTTTACCCACATGTCTATATAGCTGCAAACTGAGGTTAACCCTTCATGCATCTAACAGAGTAGAATCTGTTAGACACATACTTTTCTACTTTGGGACTTGGGCTGCAATCCTATATTCATGTACCAGTGAGTAAGCCCAACTGAACTTAATAGGCCATGCTTCTGGGCAGATATCTTGCACTGTAACAAAGCTATACTTTTGAAAGATTAAGAGGAATAGAATAGTCTGGGCAATTATTCTGTAAATACATGTTCCATCCTGATAGCCAGGGAAGGAATTCTCTATAGTTAAAATGCAAATAATTGTATTTTTCCTCAATTTAACATTTATTATGATTACATTTACACCATAGGAAATACTGGCGGCTCAGGAGGTACCCACATTTTTTAAAGCTCTGTTGAATTTTAACAATAACAAACTTACCACATTTTGTTCTAATTGCGGAGCATTGTCATTTACATCTCCAACTGTAATTATAACTTTAGCTGTAGTGCACAAACCGAATTCCTGGCCTCCCATATCTCTTGCTTCAATTTGTAGCGTATACTCTGGTGTTGTCTGCATTAAAAGGAATATATAAACATAATTTCCCTGTTCTGATTAAAATCAGCAGGATTTTATGAAAAGGAAAACCAGAGACCATGGGACTGCCCAGTTCTTCAGATAGTTACGGTACACGTTTGTATAATATTGACCAAGATGGCGGGTGCTGCATTGAAAAAAACAGCTTGGCATTGTTTGAGCCTACAAAATAGCATTATGAGAAATAAATGCTTTAAATGATCTGTTTGCAACATCAAACACATCTCCTTGTTTTTTTAAAAAGGGAGCAAGAATGACTTCACATTCTGATCCTAAACAACAATTGCATGGCGATGTACCCATTTATTTCCCTTATAATCTACCTTTCCTCTAAAAAGCTCCAAGTTGCCCTTCTTGGCAGAGTTTTGGCATGTGAATAAAGGCTAGGTGCACAGGAAATTTACCTCTCTGTCCAGATGTGATGTTACCACCGTAATAGAACCTGAATCTGGATTTATAGCAAATACCCTTAAATTCTGATAACTTTGAAGATCCTGGGACACAATTCTGTATTTCACTTCCGTATGTAAGGTGTATGGCTCATCATTGTCTGTTGCAGTCACTTGTCCAACTAGCGTCCCTGTATGTACAAAACATCGTCTTTAAATTTCCAGCTTTCCTTCATAAGATAGTTTTAAAATAATTATTTAGATGTGGTGATTTTTCACTTAATCTAAACATGTAAATCCAGGCATATATGTCAGAATGCTTTTTTAAAAAATCACATTTGTATACCTAAGTATACCTATTTTAAAACATCTGTAGAGAAATATAACCGTTCTTAACATTTGATCAATGAAACAGATATATCTGTCTATGCATCTTTCTATATTCTTATTTGAAACAGATTGGTTTTCCCCGCTGTTGGGGACTTCCTACTGCATAAATAGTGAAGTTCGTTATTTTAGGACTGCATTGCTGAACAGTGGTTCACCACCCTTTATTTGATGAGAAACCGAAGTTCTCCTGCTGGTTATAGCAACAACTCATTTGGGGAGCAGGTACACCCTGGAGATGAATTTACCAGTATCATGCTTACTCATCATCATTCTCATCAGTTAGAGAGCAGGGAACCTACTGTATTTGTAGGGCTTGTAGACACCTGAAAAATCAGTATTTTAAAATGCATGGGGAGACTCCACAAGTATAGAAGGGTCCCCATTTCACACAGTTGCCCTCTAACTCATGGAGAGCAACAGGGGATGCCAACTTGAATGAAATATGGGGGGCATGTAAGCCCTGCCCTGCATAATCATTTCACATGATATGTTGCATGGAAGCCATTTGGATGGCAATACCCATATATAATAATAATAATTATTATTATTATTATTATTATTATTATTATTATTATTATTATTATTTATTATTTGTACCCCGCCCATCTGGCTGGGTTTCCCCAGCCACTCTGGGCAGCTTCCAACAAAGATGAAAAATACACTAAAATGTCACATATTAAAAACTTCCCTGAACAGGGCTGCCTTCAGATGTCTTCTGAATGTCAGGTAGTTGTTTATCGCTTTGACATCTGATGGGTGCCCCGACAAACTTTAGGGGCCCCTGACCCCCTCAAATATTTTACTAGGGGAGCAAAGACACACACCCCAGCCCCTAGGAGTTGGCTCCTATCGAGAGTAACAAGAATGATGGCTATGAAGATGGAGGTAGGCCTCTCATCCCCGTGTGACTGAGGATGGGGGCTGTCATATGATTACTCCAACCAGAATCAGAATCCTTGAATAGGGCTATATGTAGATTATTATTTTTCGGAACTCAGATATTAGCTCAGAATTATAGCAAATAAAAATAATATGGAGCTTACATACAATTCACAGCACCTCAGTTTTTAATTAGTACTTTAAAATATTGCTGTCTAAACTAAGCATGATTTATTTAAAAAAGAAAAGATTTTTAAAATTACCAATTCCACAGTTTTCAAAGACAAGAAAAGTATAAACGTCCTGCTCAAACACTGGGGCATTATCATTATCATCTTCTATTCTAATTATATGCACAAGCGGTATCTCTGGTGTATATCCATCTGCTGTCATTGCATAGCAAATCAACTGTATAAAAAAGAGCAAACAAACAAACAAACTTTTATTTGCTAGTTGATCTGAAGTAGAAAAATATATATATTTTTAACAAATCAGGATACAATTACTTCAGTCCAAGTTTCTAAACAGGAATCTGCCAAGGTGAACAGGCTGTTATATGCTGTGTGTGGCCTTTGTGGTGAGCAGTCCACCTGTACATCCAGAAAAGCATGGGACATTGTGTCTCCATGATCTCCCAGAGTATATGCATTTAAAAACAGACATAAGGATAGGCTACAGTTGAGTTGGACTAAGAAGAAGAGAGAAAGGAGGCAGGGGCATGAGGTAAAGTGGCATAAGAGGAAATGGACAGAGTCCAAGAGCCATGTGAAGGAGGTACAAAGGAGTTGTGCGTCATACAAAGTGAAGTACAGAGGAAGCAATGGTCAAATAAAGTAGTCCATTGAATGGCCTGGGAAAGAAGGACTTGTGCAAGGCAATTGTGTGTTCGAACAGGGGCCTGAGGCAAGGAAACAAATAAGGGACTAGGCACAGCCATTTGGGCCATGGAAAGGAGAGATGAAGGAAGAAGGAGATATGGGAAAGATAGGAAAGACCACATGGGAACAGTGAAGGGAAGGTGGGGCAAGTACCTTTTTGCTGGTTCAACTATAATCCATCTTTGTGGACAAGTTTTCATATATATCCCCATCAATTGGCACTGCTCCTTGAGTGTTAGTATTTATATATTTATTATTGTAGTCTCCTCTTTACTGAATGGTTATAGGAAGTACAATTTTCATTGAAATCATAAAATAAAACCACAATACAGCCAATGACAAAATATCAACACAGCAGCCCAGAACAACAGTTTAGGAGGAAAGACATCTAGTCAGTCAAATGCCTGGTTCAAGCATCATGTTCTTTGTGTCTGCTTGCCTGTTCACCTTTTCCTGAACTGTTTCACTAGTATGAGTGGGCAAGTGTTATCAGAAAGCTGTGAAGTAAAGGAAGATAATAGGCTGGGGTGAGCGCAGGCTGGTTGCTATCTTTCATCTGTAAGAAAACCCACAAATGCCTTCTCAGGTTTCCTTGAGTTCCTTGGCACTGCTAGCAGCCAGTAAATCAGTCTTCTCCCCCCACCTATTTACATGTACAGGAACATCTGGCTCTGATTGGCAAGTTGATGCTGTGCATGGCCTGCTGATGATTCTACATGTTGCTCACCAACCAAATCCCTCTCACCTTCTATTGAAGAACTGAGGACTAATGTAAACATTGTGAGGCTACCAAAAACAGCTTCTCTGTAGTGGATACAGTGTTTGAAAACTCATTTCACCGCGTGTTTCCCTCAATCATGCAGTTACCTGTCAAAGAAGTAACATACAGACAGCTGCAACAGATAATTGTTGCATCTGTTCATTCATTTTTAATTCTTTACCTTGAGGAGACTATACTGCAGAGGGCCTTCTTAGCAGTGGGGGCCCTCCCTGTGGAATGCCCTCCCATCAGATGTCAGGGAGATAAAGAATTACACAACTTTTAGAAAACATCTGAAGGCAGCCCTGTTCAGAGAAACTTTTAGTAAAAGAAATACCATGGATCTGTCCAACTGTTACTTAACAGTAAATACGTAAACAGAAGTCTGAAACCCATACCTGAAATTCTGGGTATTCTTCCCGATCGATTGGACAGGTAACAAATAGATTTCCAGTGTCCTCCTCTATGTAGAAATAATTATATGGTGGCTTGTCAACACCATGACCACTTATGGAGTATCTGATATCGTATGTTAGGGATGTGTCGGAAAGCAGCTGTGTAAATGCAAACCAATTTGAAACAGAAATAATAATTAACAAAATCTTGTTTTCTTGTCTATTTATTCAGAATCCGTTAGCAATCCCAAGATGCAAAAACAAAATATTTACACATCAATTCAAATATTATGGACACAGGAAATAAATGTTTCATGTGATAGTAGCTCCATGCAAAGTCTAAAATGCTTGTGACTTGCTTACCATGTTCCTGGTGAGAGTAGGGAGAATTCATATGATTACGCTGTTCCACATAGCTAGTTGCTTACAAATGTAAAAGCCTTATATTGAACTCCCATCAGACTCAAGCTGTTGTTTCCTTGGTACTTCCAGGCAAAAGCTGAAGCATTTAAATGGATTTCATTCTCTGGTGTTAAATAGCTGACTTTAGATATTTACACTGCAATTACAAGCTTCTTCAAAAGATGTAGGCAGAGACAAACTGGTTTCCCTAATCCCAGATTTCTGCAGCAATGTATATATCAGCAGAAGTGATGCAACAAACAATTCCCCCAGACAGATGAGTTTACCAGATGGGGCAATCATTTATAGACACAAACGATGGGTTTAACAGTAAAGTTCTTGGCTGCCTAGCAAGAATTGGGGGGCAGAGAGTATCTGAAGGCTTCAATCATAGTTTCTATTGATTGAAGTTCTGTTACTGATCACTTATAACATATGCCAAGCTGCTCAAAAATCCTTGACTGATAATTTGAAAAGTAAAAATGAAGAGGTGAATTTAAAACACACCTGTTGAATTTGCATTGGATAAGGTCCAAGTGAGTTTTCCATTAAAATAGTTGGGACAGGACCCCATCTCCGTTTAGTTCGTCTAAGAAAAGTAGCTCGTAAATGTCTTGCCTTTGCTATTGGGACCTAGAAGAACGGGAGAGATAACTAAGCAAACAACAATAGCAATCATGAGCAGTATTCAGCCAAGTCATACTCAAGGCACCTAAATCCATTGATTTCAATGGGTCTCCTCTGATTAAGTTGGATGCCACCCTATGTGTTGCGTCACTTTATTTTTCAGTCCCTCTGTGTCTATCTCTCTGCTAGAATTACAAATATTTTAACAGTTAATAAGACTTCCTGACTTCTAGGATAATTGTAGCATATGGGAATAGTAGCATTCTTATGTCACGCGAAACAAATCTAATATTTTTGTCCTTGCCCTATGTCCATTAAATTCTTTTTTTTCCCTTCCATGTTGAATTTGTATTATGTCATTGATCAAGGTTATAACTTTCTATTTTTATCTGTGCTTTATCAGTTCTGTTTTTAGTGGAATATTTAGCAGTAATTTGGGAGAAGATTCCAACAATACACATTCAGATTCTGATCACAGAGTCATGAAAATTGTCCTTCAAAGTAAAACAGCAGCACTAAAAGATGAGGAAGAAGTGAAAAGAGCAGAAAAAATCAGGATAAGATATACTGATGCAAATCAGATATGCTTACCTTTTTTGAATGTGTGAGCAAACTAATATGTATCTTCTTTTGTTCCTGTTCATGATTGCTTTTAAGAAATATGGTGATGATGATTTCATGGGAAGTCAGGGAAACATCCCTTGTTGTATACAATGAGCCATCTTCTTGAATTGTAAAATTGGGATTGTTTGAGTAAATAATTTCAGAATGATTAAGACACTGTTTCATGTTTACTGTAGAAAAATATAAATTTAAAGGACTAATTGAAATGAGGAGGAAAAATAGTTTACAAAGACGTAATTCCAAACAAAGGTGTCTGAAACTATATTTAATGCCAAATCAAATTTATGATAGACAGGCAGAGGAGTCCCCGCTGCCCTGGCCACAAATTCCTTAGCTGTTGATGGCACAGGTGGTCTGGGCACTCCCCATAGCCTATTGTCCTCCAGATCTGTACAATTCGCATAATATGTAGGATAATTTAGGTAACCTTAGAATTTGAACTCAAGAATCTGGAAACAACTCGGGTTAAATTTTAATTTGCCTATATATTATTGGTTTTCAAATAGTACATATTTGACAACAACAGCAATAACACATTCTCGGATTCTCACCTTGGCCGACAAATGCCCCTGCCTTTAGTTTATGAGGGACATTAAAAGTTACTTTCTTGCAAGCTTCAGAAGATAAACTCAATACCTTAAAGAGAGAGAGAGAGAGACCAAAACCTTAAATCATTCTTTTTTTTCATGAAGCAACAAAATTATTTCAATACAAACTTTGTGTTGATTGGCTTGTTATTTAAATTCTAAAAGTATTCAGCAGTTAGTTTGCTTTGATAACAACAAACGTCTACATCAGTGGAACTGTAGAGTTCTCATATCCCAATCCTGTATTCCTCATCCCAGCAAATTTCTTTGCTGACCCCAAATTCAGTAGACCTGTGAATTGTAAAGGGTGTAGCTGAGAAGCAAAATGTCCATTAATAGATCTTGTATATCTTCAAAATATATGTTGCTTCAGGTTCCTTTACACCAAATAAGAGACTCTACTAGAAGGCTCTACTAAAAGTTAACACACAAAGAGAGAGAGAGAATTAAACATATTAGTAATGAAGTATATTGTCCTTGGAATTTTGCAAACTGCTTAGAGATTTTATTGCAGTCAAGTGATATACTGTATAAATGTAGTGAAATAAATAAATAAACTGGGCTTGGAATATGGAAGAGTTTCCCTCAAATCTGGGGAAAAAAACCTCAAGCTTGATCAACAGACTCCATCACTCATATTCCTAATTATATTTTCAGGAATGCAACAGTTTCCCCCAGCCCAGTGAACCCCTTAATCCCCTTCCTTCTTCCCATGAATTTACCATCTGTTTGCAAGCCATCTCCCATTTGCCCACTAACTAGGTTTGGTGTTCCTACAATGGTGAAAGAAGAGGAGTCTTGAAGCAAGAGTGACAGGAGTGTATCTCCCTCTTCACTCTTTCTGTTACGCTTGACTTGCTGCTATGGCCGTTAGTCAGGAACCAGGGAAGAATGGAGAGGGACCTGCTTCCTGTTTCCATTCCACCATTTCTGAAGCTGCAAGTGGGTAAGGGAGTCGGCAGGAAGCTGGATGTATTTTCTACGATATACAATATCTTTATTGTCATTGTCCCATGCAGAACAATGAAATTGAAAAACTACATAAAACTACATAAAAACTACATAAAACTACATAAAAACTACATAAAACATTCAAAAACCCCTCAAAACTCTGAAACCCCATTTTAAAATACACTATACTATAGAGACCCCTTATGCTGCATTTAGAACCAGAATTGCATTTGCGTAGAAACTGTTTCTCAGGTGGCTAGTCCTGGCCTTTATAACCCTATACCTTCTTCCAGAAGGCAGAAGCTGAAAGAGATAATTTCCGGGGTGCATACTATCCTGCGCTATCTCTGCCGCTTTCTTATGGCACCTGGCAGCATAGATTTGATCTAAGGTGGGAAGAGTGCACCCAATTATTCTCTCTGCAGTCTTTACAACCCTGGATAGCATTGTTTTTCCCCTGGCCGTGCAGCTCCCAAACCACACACAGAGACCATAAGTTAATACACTCTCCACAGTGCAATGGTAAAATGCCATCAACAGGTCCTTTGAGAGATTGTTTTTCCGGAGGATTCTCAGAAAATATAACCTCTGCTGTGTTCTCTTTTGTAATACTTAGAGAAGAACTTTGGAAGCCAGACTTCTTGTATCATATTTCAGATTAGTATTACAAGCCACCAATATTTGTATTGCACTTGCAAGAGACATCATTAAAGCAAGCAAATGCAGGAAGAGAATATTAGTTCTGGTATAAAGTAAATGATGTATCATTCAGCATCTAATCACATTCAAGATGTGTGAATGGACTGGGGGGAAATATATTGCAAACCATGTGTTACAAAGTTTCCCTTTGTTTTATTTATTTATTTCATAATATTTATATACTGCTTGCTTGTAGAAAAAACCTCAGTGGTTTACAAAAAGGATAAAACAATGAAATTATAACTAAAAATTATACAACTGTAATTTAAAACATAAAAAGGTTAAAACCACAATAAAAGACTAAAAATATTAAAACTCTTCCAAACTTTAAAAACATCTGCACTAGCTGCAGCTTCAGGATCAAGTGTGAGGGAAGCCCCCACATAGAGCACATTGCAATAGTCCAGTCTTGAAGTTACCAGCGCATGAACTACTGTGGCAAAGCTTTCCTGGTCCAGAAATGGCCGTCGCTGTTGAACCAGCTGCACTTGGTAAAAGGCACTTCTAGCCACTGCGGCTGTCTGAGCCTCCAGTGACAGAGCTGGATCTAGAAGCATTCCCAAACTGTGAACCTGCTGCTTCAAGGCCAGCCCAAGTCATTTTGGCACCTGAGGCAAATCACAAAATGGTGGCCCCCTCCCATCACCAGAGAAGAAGAGGGAGTGAAGATCTACATCAGGAACAAGGGTGAGATAAATAGCAACATTGGGAGCAGGGTGGAAGGAGACCAGCAGTGCCTCCTAGAGGGGCCACTGTGGAGGAAGATCCAGCTTCCAGTGAGTATGCTGCAACTGCCAGTGGCACTATAGCAGCAGCAATAGGTGATTCATTCCTCGGAGACCAGATCTGTAGATCCTGCCACCCCCTTACCTCTTGTTAAGAGGGAGTGCAACCCCATCCAAGGTAGGCCATTGGCCAATTTCTCAGACCCGGGAACTACTCACACACAGTGCCTCCACATTGCCAAGATTCAAGTTCAGCTTGTTCTCCCTCATCCATCTCACCACAGGATCCATGCAGTAGCCCAGGAACTGCATGGTCTCTCTTGATTCAGATGTTATTAAGAAGTAGAGCTGAGTGTCATGCTCATGTCATCTCACTCTAAAACTCCTAATGACCACTCACAGTGACTTCATGTAGATGTTAAATAGCAGTGGAGATAAGTGCTATCTCCCAATGCTACTCTCTGAACTCGGTCCCAAATGTAGGATCAGAACCACTGTACAGTGGTACCTTGGTTCTCAAACACCTTGGTACTCAAACAACTTGGAACCCAAACACTGCAAACCCGGAAGTAAGTGTTCCAGTTTGCGAACATTTTTTGGAAGCCAAACGTGCTCCATTTTGAGTGTTACACTTCTGATTTGAGTGCCACACTTCCATTTTGGGTGTTACGCTGAGGTCTGTCTGTTTTTGTCATTTATTTTGCATTTTTATTTTTGTGGCTTTTTTGTTTTGTTTTTGTGACTGTGTGGAACCCAGTTCAGCTACTGATTGATTGATTGTGTGACTGCAGTACATTGTTTATTGCTTTCATTTTATGGATTAATGGTCTCATGAGATAGTAAAATTCATGTTAAATTGCTGTTTTAGGGGTTGTTTTTAAAAGTCTGGAACGGATTAATCCATTTTGCATTACTTTCTATGGGAAAGCACGCCTTGGTTTTGGAACGCTTTGGTTTTGGAATGGACTTCTGAAATGGATTAAGTTTGAGAACCAAGGTACCACTGTAATATGGTGCCTCCAATTCCCATTCCCTGGAGTTGTTCCAGGAGGATACCTTGGTTGATGGTATCAAATGCTGTTGAGAGATCAAGAAGAAGCAGCAAGGTCACACTCTCTGCAGAGGTCATCCATCGAGACGACCAAGAGCAACTTGGTTCTGTGGCCTAGATAATCTGTGTCCTCCAAAAATGTGCAGCTACTCCACCACAGCCTCTATCACCTTCTCCCAAAGGGGGGTATTTGCAACTGGTCAATAGTTTTTCAATCCAAAGGCCCAAACAAGGTGTAAGAGTCAGACACAAACCTGTAGATCTCAGCCAAAACTAAAAACAAGCAACCCCTGCCCCACATTAATTCAGAAATTGTACAGTCATATATGACCTATACTATATGCCTTCCTAATGGTTTGAACTGACTGAAGTGAAAGGATACGAGTCTTTTCCTGGAAGTTCCTAAATGTGATGATGTGCGTTACATATTGCACTCCTGTTGTGACTCTGACATGGCCAGGTTTTCCATAAATTCTTTATCTCCATCTTTTTGTTTTATTTTATTTAGTACAAGTTCTAACACCGAACCAAATTTATCCTGATCAGTGGCGTAGCGTGGGTTGTCAGCACCCGGGGCAAGGCAAGTAATTTGCGCCCCTAACCCGTGGATTTGCGCCCCCTAACCTGTGGATTTGCCCTAACCCCAGATGTTGCGCCCGGTGCGGCCGGCCCCCCCTGCACCCCCCACGCTACGCCACTGATCCTGATATGTGGTCTGGCCCCAGTCTCATTTCCTTTGCCTCAGGGGTAGGAAATCTGTGGCCTTTATTGGCTACAACTCCCATCATTTCTGACAATTGGCCATGTTTATTGGGGCTGATGGGAACTGGAGCCACCCTCTCTGCTTTATCTTCTCATTTTTTATTTTATGTAAATAGAGTAACAAAACAGATTCCTTGTTCGAAATGACCATAAATATCTCTAGAGCAGTGTATCTGCAATCTTATTATTAAATATTACAAACCACTTCCAATACATAGCCAGTATAGGATCTCAGCAATAATTTACTGACCATAAATTCCCACAAGAAATAAATACAAGAGAATTTAACAAAAACAGATATTGCCCCCCCCCCACACACACACACATTTAACTAGGACTTTGCCCAAAGAATCAAATAAATACTCATTTATTTTAGCATAATCCTTATTATAATATTTCAGTACAAATGCAGAAACAATCCTGCTGATATTATCTGTCACTGAGTATTTCCCCTTCTAAAAAATTCTAAAGAGAGCCAATACCTGATGCAAAGAAATTAATATAGAACACTTAGAGCACAGGTCTATTCATATCTACTCAGAAGTAAATTCATTTAAGTTCAGTGGGGCTTACTCCCAGATAAATGGGCACAGGATTTCAGGCTTAGACATTTTCTGTGATGGTAAGTTTCTGGACCTCTCAAAAGTTTGTTGATATCAGCGTATTAAAGTTCCTTAAATCAAAATTAATATTCCTGATGCTGGAGCACAGTGATTCCATTAAACTGTACCAAACAGTTCCTTGCATCAATTACTTTAAATGTAATCAGCTTATTAGCATACCTTTTTAAAAACAATAAATAGGACCCCACAATGATCTTTAGACTTTCAGTGTTATTTTGACAATTAGAAAGGCATACTGGAATTGTTGCAAGAAGTTTAAATAATAATAGCAACTGTTTCATATTCAGCATTGCCAAGAGTCAGTGTAAGGGATGTCTCCTGTACTAAGACATGCAACATATTTAAAAATACATCAGCTACATAAAATAAAGCAGATGTTCTTTATTTTAGCACATACTATTCTCACCATACTCCAGATAACAGCTCTATAATGGCCGTAGTCTTTGGCAGAGAATAGTTAAATACAAATATCTACATAGATTTTATTTGGTCCCTTTATTTCACGATGAATTCTGGCTACTTACTATTGACATACAACCAATTCAACATTCTGTTCTACTCACCAGTAGACTGAAGAGAAGCTGTAGCCAGATAGCTCTACATAAGATGCTGCCTTTACACCATCTTGCAGCTAGTAGCACCATTTCCAGTATAGAAATTCAATGGGCTGCAGGGCTTTTCTGGTTACTCACTTGCTGGGGTCTGGCGATAGTCCCCAGAGGAGTCAGGGTGAAAGGAAACACTGCAAGGCAGCAGCAGCGAGTATATGGTGCAAAAGTGAATGCAACTTTCTTCCTTTTCTTCCCTTTCACTTAAAGCTTTTGCTGTCTAAGAAGGGCCGGGTTATTAATTCAGCTCTCTTGCTAAATGTCATGGGGCTTGTCCTGAAAGAGACTTGTGGAACGTGCTCTATTTCATTTCAGACTTTCCTTGCCCTGGTGAAATGCTGGGGGAGAGGGAGAAGTTGGATGGATTGGGCTCCTGGGCTTGCCCTTCCCTTCCCAATTGCTTAGGACTAAATTGTTTTTGGTTTCACACAAATAATTCTTGGTTTCATAGAATCTTAAGCTAGAGGCTGAAGCAGTGAGCTTTCAGCCAAGACCAGTGCAAAGATCCTGGCCTCCCCATTCAAGGACCATGCTCCCCAGTCAGCTTTGTCTCATTTACTATATCTTTCTTGATTGCCGGGATCCCAATTAAATTAATATAAAACAATTCTTTTCTATTTATAGAAGAAGCTCTAGCCTTCCTTTTCATCACCAAGGGTTTTCAGGTGTCCTTTATTCAAAGAATATTGATTAATTTAAATATCATCCTTATAAACCTATTGATTTGTAAATGATGGTGGGTGTTCCTTTCTTCAGAAAAGAGGAGCTTCAGAGCACTAACTAAATCAATTTTGGTGATCTTTCCAGATACTTTGGATAACAACTCCTATCATACCTGGCCATTGTAAAGGGACTTTGCATTTGGCAGTTACATTATCAAAGCACGAAATATTCACAATTCCATTTGTTATAAATGTAAGAGGAGAATGAAATTTTATTCATTCATATAAATGCACATATATCCCACTTTTCAATGGAATGAGCTTGAATTTGTGGTTGCCATGCAAATAATCACGAATCCTTTTATAAAGAGTGTGAAGGTTTTATAATACACTAGGGGAAACTACTTTCCAGGAAGAATAACTGGTATTACTACCAATATTTTTTTTAAAAAAAAATCAAGAATTGGACTCTTTCAGTTAGGATAACAAACCAGCAAATCAAAAAGGAGCAATATCTTATATAAAAGTATATCTAAAATAAGAAAAAAAACAAGCAAAGGATTTTCATGCTGAAGAAATAGGGGTGGGTTGTTGGTTCTAAATGTGAACATCTTCTATGAGCCATGAATGCTACTTTAGTACACTGGACATGGACTCCAGATTCCTCAGTATTGCAATTTTAGGAGAACCCCTAAAATCTCCATTGCATAAAACACTGTGAGGGGATAGAACCAATTTACCAAAATTAACAAAAACTGTTTAATTTCACATTGATTAAAGGTATGGCACTGTAATAAGTGGTTATTAAGCATGCACATATCTCCTTTATAACCTGTTTTGGATTATCTAGATTCAGATAATTGCTTTAAGAACTGGAGAAGGAACAAACAAAATATGACTGACTGCTCTGAAATTAAAAGCTAATGTATGTACATGCACTTGGCAAAACAATCATGGTTCAAATAGTTTTAGACAAGAGCATTAACATTAGAATACTAGAGAATAAACCGCCTGTAAACCACCAGACCCATTAAAGTCTGGTCCTTCTCAGATCTCAGAGGGGATAGAATATAGTCTGCCTCAATATGTTTCCAGGCAGATTTTTGATGCCACATCCTTAAAAATCTGCCTGGAAAAAAAACATTTAAAAGTACTTATGTGGTGGCCGAAAGCTTATATGCATCTTTCATCCCTCCCCCATTTTTTCTTTAAAACTTTTGGAATAGAGTGAGCAGGTTACATACGGGGCTTCTTAGCCCCACATGCCTTGCGTGAACATAGAACAAGTCCCACTAGGGGTGATGGCACTAGTTGTTTCTTCACTCCCATGGGATTTGCACAGAAAAATCTTAATTACTTGCACAGATAATTTGCTTATATTAAAAAACACATGGAAGGCTTCTTTTTTCTCCAAAAGTTAAATAGCCCAGTAAAATACTTTCTTTGTTGCTTACATATCTTGCCTACTTTTTTTTTTAAAAAAAAGATCAAAATTGTACAAGGAAGCTAAAGAGGGACAAAACTTAGTTTAACATCAACATAAAGTATAAGTTATGCAAATTTTCACATTTTGAGGAAAGAATTATAACTAAAAGAAACTTGCAAATTACAAGGTTTATCATATGTCCAGTAGGACTATAACCTTTAACTTAATTGCAAAATTTGGTGATGGAAAATATGTGATATCGTATGAGACGGTAAAGAATAGAATGAATGTATATCATCCAGATGTTCCAATATTTTCAGCTAAGGCATATTATAAATCAACCTATACTTAAATATAGGCATTTACAAACAAAATCTGAATTTCAGCTGTTAATTACATGCCCTAAATTAATGAATCTTATAAGCAAATGGTGCACAAGCCAACTAAGCTTTACTCAACTAGCACTGATAAATGCAAGAGATGTGATTCATCTAAGGCAGATTCCATGCAAATTGTCCAAGCCATTTGGAAAAATATGTAGAATACACTTGATAGGCCAAGAAGCTCAGTTACCACCACATATTTTTCATTTAAAACACACCCATTTGCTTATTTTGCAAGAGTTATGTGCAAAAGAAAGGCATATATCTCTGAAAATTACTTGGTTAACTTGCCACTCACAAATAAGGAGATCTGATCCAACCCCTGCAATGCAGGAATCTTTTGCGCAACATGGAGTTCGAACCCACAACCCTAAGATTAAGAGTCTCATGCTCTACTGATGGTGCAAGCATCCTGAGCGGTACTGTATATGGTTTTCAAAGATCAAAAGCAGAACTGTCTATAATCTTGGAAAAGTATTGGAGGACAGGTGAGGTCCCTGCAGGCTGGAGATGGGCAAATGTTGTCCTCATCTTCAAAAGGGGAGTGAAAGAAGACCCAGGTAACTACCAACTGGTAAGCTTAACATTGATACCAGGAAAGATCCTAGAACTAATGGTTCCTCAACACCCTGGAAAAAAGGGACACGTGAGTCCTGCAGGGTTCTGTCCAGGTATTGAGGGGGTGCTCATCAAATTTGCAGATGACACCAAACAGGGAAGGGTAGTGAATGCCACAGAAGACAGAATTGGGATTCAGTATGACCTTAACAGATTGGAGAACTGGGCAAAAACTAACTAAATGAAATTTAATAGGGACAAATGTAAGGTTCTACACTTAGGTAGGAATAACCATCTGCAAAAATATAAGATGAGAGACACCTGGTTTGCCAGTAGTACCTCTGAAAAGGATCTGAGGGTCTTAATAGACCACAAATATAACATGAGTCAACAGTGTGATACAGCAGCAGCAAATGCTAATGCTATCCGAGGCTGCTACCCGTCGGACGCGGGTGGCGCTGTGGGTAAAACCTCAGCGCCTAGGACTTGCTGATCGCATGGTCGGCGGTTCGAATCCCCACAGCAGGGTGCGCTCCCGTCATTCGGTCCCAGCACCTGCCAACCTAGCAGTTCGAAAGCACCCCCGGGTGCAAGTAGATAAATAGGGACCGCTTACCAGTGGGAAGGTAAACGGCCTTCCGTGTGCTGCGCTGGCTCGCCAGATGCAGCTTGTCACGCTAGCCACGTGACCCGGAAGTGTCTGCGGACAGCGCTGGCTCCCGGCCTATAGAGTGAGATGAGCGCACAACCCTAGAGTCTGGCAAGACTGGCCCGTACGGGAAGGGGTACCTTTACCTTTACCTTATCCTAGGCTGCATCAACAGAAGTATAGTGTCCAGATCAAGGAAAGTAAAAGAACTCTCTGTTCTGCCTCAAACCACACCTGGAGCACTGCTTCCAGTTCTAGGCACAACAATTGAGGAAGGATATTGACAAGCTGGAATGTGTGCAGAGAAGGGCAATCAAGATGATCAAGGAAACCAAGCCTTAAGAAGAACCCTTGAGAGAGTTGGGTATGTTTAGCCTTGAAAAAGGGAGACTGAGAAGAGAGATGGTGGCCATCTTCAAATATCTTAACGGCTGTCAGGTGGAAGATAGAGCAAGCTTGTTTTCTCCTGCTCCAGAGGGTAGGACCTGAATCAATGGCTTCAAGTTACAAGAAAGGAGATTCTGACTAAGGATCAGAAATAACTTTTTGACAGTAAAAGGTGTCACACAGTGGAATGAACTCCCTCGGGAGGTTGTGGACTTTCCTTTATTGGAAGTTTTAAAGCAGAAGTTGGATGACCACCTCTCATGGTTTCTTTAGTTGGGATTCCTGCATTGCAGGGGGTTGGACTAGATAACCCTTGTGTCTCTTTCAACTATGATTCTAAGTTCCTGTACAAAGCAGCCCTACATACAGCACACTGCAGTAATCCAGCCTGGAGGAGAATCTTGCTCATCCAAGGCATCTTGAACAGACATTCTTTATTTGTATTACAACCAGCTAGATAAGCTGGTTCGTTTGATTTATTGTTTGAAGAAGAGGAGAAAGAGGTTGAGCTTCTCTCCCAATATTAATTTATTCACTGGAAATACTGTGCTTATGACTTATATAGAACTAAGAGCCATGTATGTCATCTGTATCTGAAGACTCGAAAAAAGGTGTGGTTCTGTGTATATTATTTTACTACCTTCTTTGACATGTTCTTTGCAATTGATCCATATCCTACCTAAGCTCAAACTTGCCTGTGCATGTTGGTTTCAGCACAGATTTCATATTTATTCATTTAGACGCTTTCTGAAATCATTATGATACATAGTTTGTGCCATGAATTCCTAATTGTTTGATGATTCTTGCTTCCTATAATTTATATGAGACTAGCAACAACAGCAACATTCCTGCCATTATGACAAGAAATATGGAAGGTATTTGCCTGAAGTTCCCTGCCCCAGATTCTCTCTAGTGAGAACTCATCACCTACTGTCAGATGTGTTTTTCAACCTCTACTTCAGTGCTCCTGG